CGGCGGTGGCCGCTACGTGATCTACGTCCCCGCCGGCACGTACAAGGAGCAGGTTGTCATTGACACCCCCGACATTATCCTTATCGGGGCGGGGGCGGGCTCTACTGTCGTCACGTACGACGAGAGCTACGGCAGCGGGTCGAGCACGTTCGATTCCGCTACAGTCGGAGTGAACAGTGACCGGTTTGTCGTGTTCGGGATGAAATTTGTGAATACGGCCGGCCCCGACAACCACCAGGCTGTAGCGTTCCGCGCTTCTGGCGACCAGTCGGCGGCGATCGACTGCTCGTTCGAGGGTGCGCAAGATACACTATACGTGGACGCGGGTCGGCAGTACTACACGAACTGCTACATCGGCGGCACGCAGGACTTCATTTTCGGCGACGCGGCGGTGGTGATAGAAAACGCGAAGATTCAGCTGCATCCGAGCAAGTCGTTTATTACCCTCACGGCGTCGGGTCGCGCCAAGGACACGCCGACGGGGATCGTGATCCGCGACTCGGCGGTGAGCGCCGATAGTGGCGCGGCGAAGGCGTTTCTCGGGCGGCCGTGGAAGAAGTGCGCCTTCACCGTCTTCGTCAACACCGTGCTGCCCGCGGTAAGTGCTCTTGGTGCTTCCCTCGTGTCTACGCTCTGCTGTTCGGCTGGTTGCTTGTTCCTTTCCTTCACCGTCCTCGCCAGCACCGTGCTGTCCGCGGTAAGAGTTGCCAAATCTACCCGCTCCCAAATTCCACTTCCTTCAGTTCTCTTTGCTCGTTTCACTCTCGTCCCCCGCCCCTCCTCATCCGCCCCTCATGTACATGAATCAGCCCCGAGGGTTTGATGCTGTGGCAACATGGCAGCTCGATGGTCCTCCTGGCTCTCGGTGCTTACTCAAAATATTTGCCTGTTCTTTTTCGCCTATCTTTCGCCGTACTTCGCCATATTTTCAGATCATTCAGCCCGACGGGTGGTTGTCGTGGAACGAGGGCAGCTGCATGTTCCTCGCCGAGTCGGGCAGCAAGGGCCCCGGCGCAAAATCGTCCCGCGCGAGCTGGGTCGATCCTGGGATCATCTCGAGCGCGTCGTCGCAGTACACCGCCAGCAGTTTCGCCGAGGTCAACTCGTGGCTCACCTTCGCGTGAACGGCTGGGACCGACTCGTGACTGTAACTGAAGTGCCTTTTTAGGAGTGGCATGGCTTGAGCTGGGCCTGCCATATTGAGCGAGATGACTTCCTGCACTCAGCCATTTCGTGTGCTTGTAATGCGGGCGCTAACCTGTTGTCAACAGTAGGAGTTTCAAGAGTTGTAGTGCACCATATTTGTAGTGTTTTAGGCCACTTTCCATGTCTACGTATTATGCCAATATATGTTTTCCATAAATTAACCCATCATTGTCGATCCTAGCAGCACTCACACCCATTCCAGCACTCAGACCCCTTTCAAACATCACTCATATCAGCAGCAGCAAGCACACCCATTCCTAGCTAGCTCATTTTAACATGGTTTCAGAGCAGGTCTGTCAACTCATACATATGTTGATATGTAGAAGATATAGGCTAGATAGATGTATGTTGTTAGAGGGGTATAACTTCAACACTATAACTCTCTTGTTCTCCCTTGTTTCTAATAATTCATTCTAGTTGACATGGTATCATGAGTAGGTAGGCCCACCCACCTGCTTCCGCCCCGTGCCTAGCCTACCGCCCTCGCTAGCCCCCCCCCCCCCCCCCCCCCCCCCCCGCGCGCCCACGCCAGCCCCTCACGCCTTAGTGGGCCCCTCACTCCTTAGAGGGCCCCTCGCGCCCTAGCGGGCCCCTCGCGGTTTAGTGGGCCCCTCGCGCCCTAGCGGGCCCCTCGAACAGTTGTCGGCCCCTCGCGCCCTAGCGGGCCCCTCGCGCTGTCGTCGGCCCCTCGCGCCCCTCCTGGTCTCTCGCGCCCCTGCCGGCCCCTCGCGCCCCTACCGGCCCCTCGCGCCCTAGCGAACCCCGCGCGCCCTAGTCGGCCCCTTGCGCCCTATCGGGCCCCTCGCCCTGTCGTCGGCCCCTCGCGCCCCCACCGGCCCCTTGCGCCCTAGCCGGCCCCTCGCGCCTTAGCGGGGCTCTCACGCCCTTGTCAGCCCCATGCGCCCGAGCCGGCCCCTTGCGCCCCCACTGGCCCCTCGCGCCTTCTGCCGAGCCGCTGAGCCGCCGAGTCGCAGTCCCACTGTGCAGCCGAGCCGCTGCGCCACCGTGACCCTAAGCCGCCGTACCGCCGAGCCGCTAAGCCGCCGAGTTGCAGAGCCGCCGTGCCGCTGAGCTGCCGAGCTGCTGAGCCGCCGAGCCGCCGTGTCACACTGTGCGATGGCGGATGCCCTTTTTCGCTTGGACGATGAGGGGCACGCGATCGAGTTCGTTGCCTGGCTCGTCGACCTCCGCCGTCATCTGACAGGTCAGCGCCAGGATGGGCACTCCCTGGCTATACATGAAGATGGCTTGCTTCCCCGCCCCCCTACGCCTGCTCCCCTCCCTGCTGACCCCACTACTGCTAAGAGCGAGGCCTTTGCTGCTGCTGTGCTCGCTCGCGCTGTCTGGGATTCTCGCGACGCTGTAGCGCAGTTTGCCATTAGTCATGCTCTGCCCCTGTCTGAGCGTTCGCGCTTCACCACTGTCGCGAACGCCAAGGACTTATTCAATGCTGTAGTTGAGCGTTAATCCACACCTACTTCTGCCTCTGCTGGCCGCATGATCCTACCCATGCTCTTCCCTGATCTTTCCGCTTTCCCCACTGTAGCTGACATCGCCGCTCACCTCCGTGCGCTAGAGACTAGCTACCGAGCTGCTAGCACTGCCGCCCAGCTTACTGCCTTCCCCCCACCGTACTGCGCTATCCTGTACCTCATTGCCATGCGCCTGCCTGACCGCTTAGCCACTGCCCGCGACCACTTCCTTAGTCAGCACCCTGCCGACCTCACCCTGACCGCCTTTGTCACTGCGCTGTCTGAGATAGAGACTCGCCAGCGCACTATCGCTCAGTCGAGCGGTGTTGCGGCAGTCCCTATCTTTAAGGGATGTGCCCCGTCCCAGTGCACGTACGCTGACGTCTCAGCCGCAGTTGCCACGACTGCCCCTGCCACTGAGACAGTAGCTGCGGCTTACCCGCAGCAGCGCCAACACCGGGGCCGCCGTGGCCTCAAGAGAGGATGTGGTTGTGGCGCCGGTAGTGGTAGTGGTGGCGGGGACTGTGGTTCTGACGAGGGGTTGGAGCTGGTGTCCAGGAGCAGCAGCAGTGGCAGCCGCAGCCGCAGCAGCAGCAGCAGCCGCCACAGCAGTCGTCGCCACCGCACCAGCAGCCGTGGGCTCGCCTCCCGCTGGGGTGATCAGGAGCCCCTGGAGGTAGTGATCGTGGTGGTGGCCCTCGCAGCTCGGTGTCCACAGGCGGTTTCAACTCAGTGAGCTGCCAGTACCAGCTACAGACTGGGCCCCTCCGTGGCACGGTGTGCCGGCGCCCGCACCGGACCTCCCGCTGCTTCCGCCGCCTCGACGACCTCTTCCGTCGCCGCTTTGGTCCAGCCTCGGACCTCCCTGACTGGCCCAGCCTGTTGCGCCACGGTGTGCCTGTGTTTGACCTATACATGGATCAGATTAGTTCTGCTTTGCATTCTCTGTATGCTGATGCTTCGAGTGTTTCTGAATCTTATTACTCTGTGTTCTCTAGCTTAGGCATAGCACCTTTGTGTTGTCCAGCCTCCCCTGCTGCGTCAGGCGTAGGACCGCTTACTTTGTCTAGCCTATGTTCTACACTTGCTCCTCCTTCGTTGGCCACTATGGCTTCATTGTCCTTCACTCCAAACTCCGGTGCCTCAGCCTGCTTCTTCCGCGACCACGCCACCCTCACGCCGCTTGCCGCGCCTGCCGCTGTCTCCCTTGGTGACCCCTTCTCTGGTCCTGTTGTTGCTCGGAGTTCTACCACCCTTCCCTGTCCGGCGGTTCCCTCGGGTTCCCTTACCAGCCTACACATCCCTTTGTTCTCAAGAAACTAAGCGGGTGTCGGCTGTCTTTAGGACCTCGGCGTCACCACTACGTTCCCTGGTCACGAGCGGTACGCGGTCTGTACTGAGACCGCCTCAGGTGCACCCCTTGCGACGTTCCCCCGGGACCCTGTGTCTGGCCTGTTTATGCTGGACACTGCTTCCCCCCCGGTGGGCGCGTCCTCCCGCGTCTTGCGTCTACTCAGGTTGCTGCGGCTTGCTCGTGTCGGTCGCTCACTCACCCATCGCTTCTGTGGCACCACCACCTAGGTCACCCCGCGCTCCCGCGTCTGCGTCACATGTCTCAACACGGTCTCATCCTAGGCCTCCGTGCGTCGTTCCCTGCCCTCCCTCCCTCCCCTGCGCCGCCGTGCACGCCCTCCGTCGAGGGTCGGCTGTGCCGTGCCCCTCATTCCTCGCTTTATCCTGCCACTGCACCACTCCAAACCCTCTACTTGGACGTCTGGGGCCCAGCCCCCGTCCCTGGACCGCGTCGTGAGCGCTACTTTCTCGTGCTCGTCGATGACTTCACGTGCTACTCCACGATGTTTCCCCTGGAGCGGAACGCCGACGTGCCTGACGTTCTTATCCCGTGGGTCGTAGCTGCACGCCTCCACCGCGGTCTCCCTGCGTTGTGTCTTTACTCCGACCGTGGTGGCGAGTTTGCCTCTGGTTGGCTTGGTCAGTTCTGTTGTGCGGAGGGCATCACCCAGACGTACACCCTACCGGACTCCCCGCAGCAGAATGGGGTTGCTGAGCAACGCATCGGTTTGGTCATGGAGGTGGCTCGTACCTCCATGATTCATGCCGGTGCACCCCATTTTCTGTGGCCGTTCGCCGTTCGCTACGCCACTCACCAGCTTAACCTTTGGCCGCGCTCCCAGCAGCCGCAGATTTCGCCGACCCTTCTTTGGACAGGGTTCCCTAGTGATGCGTCTGTGTTTCACGTCTGGGGCTGCCTCACTCACGTTCGTGCCTTTGGCACAGACAAGCTCACTGCCCGCACTGTCCCCTGTGTCTTCCTTGGTTTTTCCCCTTGACTCGTATGACCGGCACTTTTTTCCACCCGCAGTCCCACCGCTTCCATCACTCCCGTGACGCCACTTTTGACGAGTCTGTCTCCTTTTACCACCGCTTTCCCCACCGAGGTCTCCCGGTTTCACCCCCCCTGTTTCTGGTTCCCACTCCCCCCGTCGCCCCTGCTGCCCTCCCTCCCCGTCGTGCTCCCTCTGGTGTGTCTCACGTCACTCCCCTCCCGTCGGTTGCCCCAATCGAGGAGTCGGCTCACTCTGGTGGCCCTGCGGCGCAATTTGCGCCACCTGTCCTTTCCCAGGAGTCTCCTCCTCCACTGTCGCCCCCGCCGCCGCCGTCCCAGCAGCCGCAGCCGTTCGTGGAGTCTGGGGTTGCTGGCGTTGAGGAGGGTGCTAGTCCCGGGGTTCCTGTCGTGGCTTGTCCCGACGGGCTCGGGGGTGGCACCAGTGTTGGAGAGGGTTCTCGCTCGGGGGGTGCTTGTTCTGGGGGTGCCGGAGGGGAGTGTTCTGGAGGTGACCGTGGTGCAGCTGGTGGTCTGGGTGTCGGCGTCGAGCAGCAGCCGCAGCAATCGCCGACGGTGTCCGCCCTTCACCTGCTCGGCCTTCCCTCCCCCGACTGCTCGCCTTTGCCTCCTCCTCTTCCTGTCCATGGTCCTGTGTTTCCTCCGCCAGACTCCTCTCTGGCCCATTTTTCACCATGTTCACCTCGTGTTTCTCCCCCTCTGTCTCCTAACCGGATGCCTCCGTCTCACGTCTGGTCTCGCCGTCCCTCTCATACTCGTCCAGTCTCTCCTGTTCCGCGCTCCCACCCCATGTTGCTTCGTTCCCACGTGTCGCGTCCGGCCCTCCTGCCTTCGCCTCCTCCGTCGTCGTGACTACGAGCTTCACTCCATCGACTTCTCCACTGCTTTTCTTCAGGGCAGCCTACACGAGCAGGTCTACCTGCGCCGTCCTCAGGGCTTCACCGGTACCTTCCCTCCTGGGACCCAGTGGCTCCTCCGGCGCCCAGTCTACGGCTTGCGACAGGCACCCCGTGAGTGGCACGACACGCTGCGTGCTACGCGTACTGACCTGCAGTTCTTTCCGTCCGCTGTAGACCCTTCGCTCTTCGTTCATGCTGGCCAGACTCCGTTCTACATCCTTGTCTACGTAGACGACCTGGACTTCACTACTGCAGACAGAGACGCACTGGCCTACGTGAAGGCCGAGCTGCTGAGGAGACACACCTGCACTAACGTAGGAGAGCTGCGCTGCTACCTTGGCTTGCAGATCTCCAGGGACAGAGCAGCGTGCACCATCACTCTTACACAGTCACACTTGGTGCGCCAGGCCCTTCAGAGGTTCGGTCTTCAGTTCTCCTCCGCACAGCCCACACCTCAGCCAGTAGACCACAGGCTCTCAGCTCTAGTTCCCGAGGAGTCAGCAGAGCCCATTTGGTCCTTACGTAGAGCTGGTCGGCTGCCTCATGTACCTGATGACTTGCACTCGCCCAGATCTCGCATACCCTCTCAGTATTCTGGCTCGCTTTGTGGCCACAGGCAGACACCGACCACAGCACTGGTCGGCCGCTAAGAGGGTTTTGCGTTATCTTGCAAGTACATCGGGCATGGGGCTAGTGCTGGGAGGATGCAGGCCAGTGGTCCTTACTGGGCATATAGACGCTTCTTGGGCAGACGACGCTGAGACCCTCAGGTCCTCCCAGGGCTACTGCTTTAGCCTTGGTTCAGCTTGGTTCAGGTGCCATCTCGTGGAGGTCCACTCGTTCCTCGTCTGTTGCCCAGTCTTGCCGTGAGGCTGAGATCTACGCTGGTGCCATGGGGGCACAGGAGCTCCGCTGGCTGACCTACTTGCATGCCGACTTAGGTGAGCGGCCTAGCTCTGCCCCAGTCCTGTACACTGACAACAGGGCCATGATCCTCCAGTGTCAGGAGCCTCGACAAGAGGGCACAGTGAAGGAGAGCGGTCAGTGGAGGCTGGAGGCGGATGAGCTAGGGTGGAGCCAAGGCCTAAACAAAGCAAAGAGTCCTATGCCTGACGCAGCAGGGGAGACTATACTAGGCACACTAAGCACACCTACACTAGGCACGGCAGAGCAGACTGTGCTAGTCGGGGAGGTCTGGCGTGGGGCCGAAACGGAGACGAAACAGGTCGTGTAGGCGACTGAAACAGCGAGTGGGGATATGACCGGTCTTACCGCACACGAGGCCGCAGTGAGGACCGGTCTGGAGCTGGTACAGGCAGCGCCCGTCACTCGCACCACCACCTGACGACGAGCTACGCGCATGAAATACGCGACCACCACCACCACCACCAGCGCCAAGTCACCTTGGCGGGAGGCGGCCGACCCTCCGCTGCGACTGCTGCTGCTGCTGCTGGTCAAGCTGTGGCGCCAACTGCTGCTCCCAATGGGGCTGCTGCTCCGGGGCACCAGCCCCAGCCCCCTCGTCTGTACTAACCGCCAGCGGACGAACCACCTCCACCACCACCTCCACCCCCTCCTCCATTACCCCCGCCTCGCCCAGCCTTGGGGCGGCGAGCCTTACCATAACGGGACTGCGCTGCTGCCACCATGGCAGCGCTGTCAGCAGCAAGGGCTATCTCAGCTACAAGTGCAGAACCGTCAGAGTAAGTGAACTGGGCAGGAGCACAACCCTGAAAGATAGGGACTGGCGCTGATCCGCTAGACTGGGCGATAGAGCGCTAACGAGTCTCTATGGCAGACAGGGGTGTCGACAAAGTCGGAGAGGGTGAGGTCAGCGGGGTGCAGACTAAGAAAGTGGTCACGGGCAGTGGCAAGGCGGTCGGGGAGGCGGGTAGCAAGCATGTTAAGGGTAGAGCAGATAGGGGGCTGGAATACACGAAGCTAGGCCTCAGTGCAGGCAGCGCGCCAGCTAGCGTCGAGCGTGTGCAGGTGCGTGGCCAGGTCAGCGTTAGTGGGGAAAGACGCGAGATCACGGAAGAGCATGGGAAGGATCAGGCGGCCGGCAGAGGCAGAGGACGGGGTGGAATAACGCTCGACAACAGCCTCTAGGAACTACTGTGCAGTCCTGGCCGACTTAAAGTGGGGGCGCTCCGACAGGGGTAGGGCATGGCTAATCGCAAGCTGAGCGACGGTGCCACGCGACAGCCAGACAGCACGGGCAAGGGCAGCAGCGGCGGCGGACTCACGGTCAGCATTTGTGGGGTCAGCGGGGAGAGCAACAGGGGGTCAGGGCAGGGGAGCGTACTGTCAATGTGGACGGCCAAGGAGTGGCCATCCTGCCGCTGACCAGTGAGGTGACGGCGCAGATCGACGAGCCAGGAGTCGAACTCAATTAGCTGACCCTCCGTGTCAAAGCGCAGCACCGAGCTGGCCATGAGGGCCGCTGCAACCGTGAACAGACGGCGACGAAGTGACGAGAAACGGTGGGAAGGAGTGCTGTAAGGTAGAGTGCGGTGGGGCACGGTGCAGTACGGTGAAGTGAGGTGGGTCGCGGTGAAGTGCGGTGGGGCGCGATGCAGTGCGGTAGAGAGGGCAGGTGAAGCGGGCAGGGACCGGGAACTATGGCGGCTGAGCAGCTGGGAGACGGGCCGAGGGGCGGCCGTGCGACGGGGCCGCGGAGCAGCTGGGAGACGGGGCCGCGGGGCAGCTGGGCGACGGGGCCGCGGGACGGCTAGGCGACGGGGCCGCGGAGCAGCAGGGCGACGGGTCGCGGGTCGGCTGGGCAGCAGGGCCGCAGGGCGTCTGGGCGACGGGGCCGCGGCGCGGAGGGGCGACGGGTCGGGGGGCGGCTGGGCGACGGGGTCGCGAGCCAGCTGGGACAACGGGGCCGCGGAGCACGGCTGGGCGACTGGGCCGCGGGGCAGATGGGACGACGGGGACGCGGGGCGGCTGGACGACGAGGCCGCGGGGCGGCTGGGCTACGAGGCCACGGGGCGGCTAGGCGATGGGGCGGCTAGGCCGCGGGGCGGCTGGGCGCTAGGCGACGGGGTCGCGGGGCCAGCGGGGCGGCTAGGCGCGACGGGGCGGGGCAATGGGCCGCGGGGGCTAGGCGCTAGGTGATGGGGAACGGGGGGCCACGGGCGGCTAGGCGCTAGGGAACGGGGCCGTGGGGCCAGCAAGGCAACGGGGGCGGCGGGGGGACGTGGGGCAGCTAGGAGCTAGGCGATGGGGAAGGCTAGGACCTAAGGCGGAAGCGCGGGTGGGCGGGGGGACCTAACCTACTCATGATACCATCTCAGAGTTAGAACGAAAAATGAGTAGAATGAGAGTATACATGGGTATATAGCTAGTGGGTTGTACTCTCTATGGCAAGACCTATGTAGTCTACTAAACATACACAAATATGTTTGACAGCCGCCGCCGCCGCTGTCTACGCTGCCGCCGTCGCCGCCGTTGCAGCCGCTGCCCTTGCTGTCGACGTCGCCCTGACTCACGCGCTGTGGGGTTGACCATGCTGGAGTAGCCGTCGCTGCTGCTGAGTATGGGGGTGCTAGGGGGTGTGTGGCTTAGTGTGGTGTATGTTTTGTGGGCTTTCAGCTACCAAGCCTAGGGGGTGTGTTAAATTATATTTTTGAGATATATATAATGGTAGGCTTGGTAGGTGTTACTGGATTCTACTGTAGAGGGTACAACCCCCGTCTTGTATCCCTCTCTTCTATTCCAAGCCTCTTCTCTCTCGATATTTTTCTCCCAAAACCTCTCGTCATTCCATGGTGCCTCTTCCTAACTCGCTCATTTTAAGAGCCTGCTGGAGGAGACAATTGCCCTGTGGAATCTGTATCAGCTGCTACTGAAGCAGCAACGTGACTGAGAGAAAGCAAACCCATGTGTACCTTACGGAGCAAGCAAACCGGTCTGTAAAATAGGGAGCAAGCAAACCCATTGCAGGATCCTCCCTCCTGCCCACTCTCTCACCCTCCACTGGAGTCTGTAGATGGATTGAAGAGGTGAGCGCTGAGACATTCACCACTGCTAGAAGGATAGGGAAGGAGAGGGCAGGAAATGCTAAATGATCCCCCTCTTGCCCACTCTCACTTTCCTTCCACTGGAGTCTGTAGATTGGGGTAAAGATGGAATGAGGGAAGCACTGAGATGATCGCCTTGTCACTGCTAGGACGAGGAGAGGAGTGGAGGGGCAACAAAAGCTCAAGTATCCTCTTTCCTGCTCCTCTCACACCCTCCAATGCCGTCTGAGAACAGGTACCAGTGATAGTATGGCGGAGGGAGGGGGAGTGGGGAGAAGAGAGTGCTACTGCATGTCGCGCACAGGCCCATCCAAGCTGTCTCACCAAGCTGCGGTTGCATGTGTCACAGATGTGACATGCACACACAGCATATGTGCATATGTGCGTGCACTACGCTGTATTGAACTTATGGACACAAATCATCAAGGGAGATGACAACCTTGCTCACATTAAACATCCCAAACTAGTCAGCAATAGGAATGGCTGCTGAAGCACTCCAAATATTGCACCCACCAAACATCTAGGCAAACACGCAAGTATTCGCCTTCTCCTCTACCCAAGCTAGTTCGCCACTGCATATAGCAGCAATGCTTACTCTAATTTTCAGCTACAAACTGATGCATCTGTTGCTCCTCCTGCTACTGCTGCTGCTACTGCTGCTACTGCTGCTGCTGCTGCTGCTCAAGCCTAGTCCGAGCCTAGCCCGCCCAGCTGAGCCAGCTGTTGACCTCAGTGAAGGTGTTGGCATCGTAGCCGGTGACGTCAGTGATGGTCCCGGGCTGCACCCAGTCAGCACGGGGGAAGAAGCGCCCGGCCCTGTGCTGCCCGCCTCGGCGAGGAACATGCAGCTGCCCTCGTTCCACGACAGCCAGCCGTCCTTCTCGACCATCTGAGGGGGCGGGAAAGCCGGAACGGAGGGGAGGGAATGAGGTTAGAGGGAAAGAGGGGTGGCAGGGAGGAAAAAGAGGGGCGGGGGAGGGGGGGGGGGAGGAACATCCAGCTGCCCTCGTTCCACGGCAACCACCCGTCCTTCTCCATCATCTGGAATACGAGTAAGTGGGGAAGAGAAAGGGGAGGAATGACGCTGGGAGGGAATGCGGGACATGGGGAATCAAGAGGAACATGCAGCCGCCCAAAATCCATGACGACCACCTGAGAAGAGAAAGAGGGAAGAGGGAAGGGGATAAGAGGGAAGAGGGAAGGAGGGGAGAGGAACGGGGGGGAGGGAACGGAGTTTGTCTTACCGCGGGCAGGTTGGCGTTGATAAAAACGGTGAAGGCGCATTTCTTCCAGGGGCGGCCAAGGTACACTTCAGTCACGTTACTGTCTGCCTCGATAACAGCATCGCGAATCACAATCCCCGTTGGCGTGTCGGAGGCGCGGCCCGACGCCGTTATAGTCACAAAAGAGGGGCTCGGGTGTAGCTGGATCTTGGGGCTGTCGATAACCACCGCCGCGTCGCCGAAAATGAAATCCTGCGAGCCGCCAATCCAGCAGTTTTTGTAGTACTGTCGCCCCGCGTCCACATACAGCGTATCTTGCGCTCCGTCGAACGCGCAATCGAAGAGCGCGGATTGGTCGCCCGTCGCGCGAAACGCGACGGCCTGGTGGTTGTCGGGGCCCGCCGTGTTGACGAACTTGATTCCGAACGCGACGAACCTGTCGGGTGGTAACCAGTTGGGCGTTACACGGAGTTGCGAGGGGACGGGAACAGGACGTGCGGGGGGGCTCAGAGATCAGAGGCTGAGAGAAAGGTAAAAAGCAGGGGGAAGGATGGCAAAATAGGAGAAAATGGTACAGCGGAAAGGGACCCAGGCAGCTTTACCTGTCGCTATCCACGCCGACAGTAGCCGACTCGAAGGTCCCGGACCCGCTGCCCGCACTCGCGTCGCCGGTAATAATCGTCTTATCCGCGCCCGCGCCGATCAGCACAATGTCCGTCGTTTCGATCAGCACCTGGTCGTTGTGCAGAGATGGTATGAGATGGAAAGATGTGAGGTGGAGCGAGTTAGACATAGGTGGTACGAGTTTCGACCGCAGCAAACAAAAAAGGAAGATGCAGAGAAGGCACAATCAGCACCTGCTCGTTGTACAGAGGTGGATCGGACGGGATGCGGTGGAATGAGGTGGAATGAGGTGGAATGAGGTGGAAAAGAAAGGGGGGGGGGAACAATGCAGAGAAAGAAGATCAGCACCTGCTCGTCGTACGTCCCCGCGGGAATGTAGATCACGAAGCGCGAGCCGCCGGGCGCGGCGTCGACGGCGGATTGGATCGTCGAGTACCCGCTAGATCCGACGGTCGCGCTGGCGTTCAGCGTCGCACTAACCACCATCGGTCCCGCAGTAGGAGACGCTTTCTTGCTCGACTTTGACTTGCCACTGCTGCTGCTGCTCTTGTCCTTCTTGCTCTTCCTGTCGCGGTGGTGGTGGTGGTGGCTAAACAGCTCCCTCCTCTCCACGTTATCTCCCCCAGCAGCAGCGGCTGCGAATTCAGCGTTCAGACTCGTTTGAAGCTGCTGCAGTTGCGCGTACAAGCCCGGCTCGAGCCAGTCCAGCGCGCCGTTTCCGGTGGATCCCACGGTGCTCGATCGGACGGCCATGCGGCGTCCACGCACCGGTGCCACGTCCTCCTCCGTCGATGGGACGGCAGCATCCGTGGCCACGGCGGCTTTCGCGGCGGCGTTGGTGATGGCGACGAGGGCGTCGAGCGTGCTGGCCGCTTTCTTCGCCGTGTACTGCGGTTTCGAGTACCGAGACGGAAGGAGATTGCGGATTCATTAGAAAAAGAGATTTAGACAAATGAACAAAAGGTAATTGAATTGCTGATCCACTCGCAGAACAGTAAGATTTTGCTTTTATTTGGTTTTGGGATTGTAACGAACCTCGAGGTGGATGTAAGCGGGGAGGCCTTGCGCGGCGGGCGAGAATGTCTGGAACCCATCGGCTCAGTTATCATAGGGATAAAAGAACCTAATAACGGATCGGATAGGGCTAGTAACGAACCTCGAGGTGGATGTAAGCGGGGAGGCCCTGCGCGGCGGGCGAGAAGGTCTGGAAGCCGTCGACGCAGTTGCCGACCTGCGTGTCGGCCGCCGCGAGCCAGTACGGAACATCGCGCTGGTTCGTGCCCGCCTCGATCGCGTCCGCCGCCTGCCCCAGGTACCGGAGTGCGATGTTCGCCTGCCGCGCGCAGGTTCTCGCCATGGCGTTCGTAAAATGGTCGTTTTGCACGTTGGACGCTTTAATCTCGTCGGCCGCCGCGATTATCGCCGCGACTTGCGCTTCGACCGCCGCGACCATGGCGGTGGTTACTTGCTCTAGCGACTGTTGGACGACGCCTAGGGATCGCCGAGCCACGCGGAATTCTGCGGCGCAATGGGTGCGGTCGGACGACGTTGCGCACGCGTCGGGGTACGAAATGACGAGGTAATTGTCCGCCATATGGCAGCAGGAGATTACGGCGAGCGCCAGGCATAGGCCTGCGAATGTCCAAGTCGCAGCGCGTTTCATCCGCGTAGTATCCATACTGGCGTGAAAACGGAGCTTTTAGGCAGAGGCTATTCGGGCCGACGCGGATATTTGCAGGCTTGGTAAGTGGGAGATGTGGCGAAGCAGACCTTTGCAGGGCTATATTAAAGCCGAAATTCGATGGAGGTTGTTGAGAGAGAGAGGCGTCGGAAGCTCGTATAAGTAGCAGGAAGAATTGCTGGTGATGATGGTGAAAGAAACTGGCGCGAATTTATTAGTCACCTCAGTTAGGGTTTAGCCGAGGAATATGGGTGGTTGGGTTTGCTTCGCATTGGGTTGGGTTGGAATAGGGGAGTCGCGGGGAGGGGCAGTCCAGCTTATCGCGGCTCGATCTGATGGCTGGAGAAATCGAAGCGCGGAGCGCTCAGCCCTCCCTCGATTGGCTGGTACACATGTTATCCTATATTGTCCCTCCCAAAACAGTCAATTTTAATCCCATCCACCAAGTTCTCAGCATGACTCGCGTTGACACTGAACCTGATTGGCTGCAGTCTGTACGGTTAGCGAACAATTAGATCGTGTTTCGGCAAGTGCGAGAATCTGAGCTGGGAAGTCGCGCAGGAAAATTTAGTGTATGAGCGAAAATTTGTAACCAAGTGACAGTGTTTACTGTTGGTTTTCCCCTTGAATGTCCCATTTGTTTGGGTTCGACCATTTCCTGCTTACAGGCTCAGGCCGCGTGCCAAAAAGTAGAGCTCAATAGAAAACATGTGTACGAACCGCAGCGGGGCTGAGTCTTCCCGGAGCGATCAGGACCGGGGGGCCTGAGGGAGAATTTGTGGAGTACCTGTTTCGATTAGAGAAGTATGATGGTTTCAACTAAGCTCTTTTTGAAATGGTGATTGCTGTAAACATAAAGCTTAGCGGTCCTGAACCTGATTCGCCTCCCAGGTGACAAAAATTTCACTTACCGTCATGATAATATTATTGTAGCTCGCTTTTCCAAACACCTCGCGGGGTTCGAGTTGAGGACGGCTCAGCAACTGCCGTCCAGGCTTTCCGCCCCAACCTCGGGGGGCTGGGGGTCGCTGGTACTGTAACACCAGGGACGTGAAGCGACTCGAGCTATGGACTGTGCTTGTAACGACGCTGGGCTGCTGGGGAAACCTTGAGCGGTGCGAGGGTTCTTGATATGAGGGTTGCTTTCGCAATAAGAACCGGACCAAACTTCAAGTCCACTGGATGAACGAGGTAGCCAATGGTTGTTTCGGGGCTGGAAAGGGAACTCCTCACAGACATTGCCCGACCTCTGCGAAAAGAAGGTAGGCACACTTGGGCATCGCTTTTGGGCAGTTCCCCAGTTCACATTCCCTTCACAAAAGCTGTTCTACAAACGAAAGACGCCAGTATGGCTAGCTCAGCACCCTCACTTCAAAGCATTTCAAGACAATTTGACTAAACAACATACAGTTCAGCCATTGCTCCCAAATTTGGTTTGTTCCTAAAAAAGGCCACCACATGATTTGCTTAATTTTAACAAGACAATAGCTCAACAAGGACGCAGAATCTTGAAAGGTAGCTAGCATACATTAGCATTGTGTAAATGTGCGGCACTTTTTCAAAACCTAACCAAAACATGGGCGTAGGCTGCACTGCTAAATATGCAACCCGCCCAATCAAGGAAGCTGAGTGACGAGCCACACTCAACTCGCCCTATTACACAGCCAGTCAAAGCATTTCTTTGCCGCGAGTCAGTCTAACATTAGTTACTGTTACAGTTTTTTCTGTTACCACTGGCCCAGCTGCTGTCGTTGCTGCTGCTCCTGCTACAACAACCCCACTTGGAACTGCTGTTGCTGCTACAGCTTCCCCCATAGCAACTGCCTTTGATCGCTACTGCAGACCCTGTCCCTGATCCCACCTGCCCCAGTCATTACTGCTGTAAGTGCAACTTCCCCAACCCTTTCACAGCAACTCCCTGCTGCTACAGCTGCATCCCAGCTGCTACAGCTGCATCCCAGCTGCTACAGCTGCCTCCCTGCTGCTACAGCTGCCTCCCTGCTGCTACAGCTGCCTCCCTGCTGTTACAGCTGCCTCCCTGCTGCTACAGCTGCCTCCCTGCTGTTACAGCTGCCTCCCTGCTGCTACAGCTGCCTCCCTGCTGCTACAGCTACCCCACGTGTTAATGCTGCAGGTACAGGTCGTCCCCGTTGCTGCTACACCTGCCCGAGATTCTCTTACACCTGTCCAAGATTCTCCTACCCCTGCGCGAGGCTTTCCTACACCTGCCCGAGATTCTGTTACACCTTCCCATTGCAAACAAACTTGCTGCCGTTCCAGAAGCAGCCAGTTGGCGGGGGGGAGGGGCGGGGGGAGGTGGAGGGGATGGGGGTGGGCTTGGGGGAGGAGGAGGGGAAGGGGGGGGAGGTGGGGAGGGTGGAGGAGAGGGGGGAGCGGGAGGAGGGGAGGGTGGGGGAGGGGAGGGTGGAGGGGGAGAGGGAGCGGGGGGGGGTAAGGGAGGAGGAGAGGTTGTAGGGGAGGGTTGTGAGGGGGGAGAAAGGGGAGGGGAAGGGGGAGGTGAGGAGACAGGGGGGGAAGGGGGTGATGGGGGGGAAAGGGGAGAGGAAGGGGGAGGCGGGGAGTCAGGGGATGAGGGAGGGGGGGTGAGGGAGGAGGGGGAGACGGGGGAGGGGGAGAGGGGGAGGGGGAGAGGGGGAGGGGAGAGGGGGGAGGGGGAGAGTGGGGAGGGGGAGAGGGGGAGGGGAGAGGAGGGAGGGGGAGAGGGGGAGGGGAGAGGGGGAGGGGGAGAGGGGGGTGGAAAGGGAGGAGGGACGGGGGGAGGGGAGGGCGGTGGGTGTGGTGGTGGAGAGGGGGGGGGCTGTGGAGGGGGGCTTCTGGGCAAGGGAGGTGTTGGGGAGCCTGGAGGGGGAGGGGATGGGAGGGGTGACCGGGAAGGGAAACGAGGGGATTAGATTCTACAGTTAAAGGTTACAATAAAGCAGTGGTTCTTTTAAAGAAACGTCACGTTTACTACAAATCTTCACGAGGACCAAAAGTCAAAACAAATAGTTCATGTCTCATACATAAAGTACATGAGTTGTAACACATACTGGAGACGGTAGCACTCACATGCGAATGTAACCGTCGGCGGCGACTTGCTGGTTACCGCCTTGGCAACGCACACTCCCGAGCCTCCGCACTGCATGCTCTCAGCTTCGGTTGCCGAACCACTCAGCCCGGTTCGGCAGAACAAGCTACAGTCACTCTCACTCCGCTGCCCTTCAAGACTCAGCGTCGACCCCGTTCCTGTCGTTCCCCCAGTCCCCCCCGTCTCATACACAAGGCAGTTCCTCCCAACGCTCAGCGCCACCGAACCTGCAGGTCCGGACCCCTGGATGGTTCCCGTGCCTGGCGCGGAGGTTTGGGAGATCAGCGGCGTGCCCTGGGTGTCGACGATGCTTGCCGGACCAAAGAAGTAGTTGCGGGAGAGGTCGAGCAGCGAGATGGCAGGGGCTGAATACACGCGGGGAAGAGGACCGGTGAAGTAGTTGCGCGAGAGGTTGCTGGGGGGGGGGGAGAACAGGGAAGGGGAAGAAGTGGGGAGGACCAAAGAAGCAGTTGCGGGAGAGGTCGAGCAGCGAGATGGCTGGGGCTGGATACACACGGAGGAGCGGCCGGTGAAATAGTTGCGCGAGAGGTTGCTGGGGGGGGGGAGAACAGGGAAGGGGAAGAAGTGGGGAGGACCAAAGAAGCAGTTGCGGGAGAGGTCGAGCAGCAAGATGGCTGGGGCTGGATACACACGGAGGAGCGGCCCGGTGAAATAGTTGCGCGAGAGGTTGCTGGGGGGAGGGGAGAACAGGGAAGGGGATGAAGCGGGGAGGACCAAAGAAGCAGTTGCGTGAGAGGTCGAGCAGCGAGATGGCTGGGGCTGGATACACGCGGAGGAGTGGCCCGGTGAAATAGTTGCGCGAGAGGTTGCTGGGGGGGGGGGAGGGGATGGGGAAGGGATGGGGGAGGGATGGGGAGGGAGAGGGGAGGGGGAGGAGAGGGAGTGGCACTAGCTTGTTAAGCCAACGCAGTAGTTGTGGGAGAGGTCGAGGAGAGATATGGCTGGAGCTGAGTACATGCGGGGGAGCGGGTCGGTTAAGTAGTTGCGAGAGAGGTGGCTGGGGGGAGGGGGGGGAGGTGGGGCGGGGGGGGGAGAGGAGAGGGGATGGTTCAGCGTCTACGCTGCAATCCCTGCAGGATTGCTTTGAACCCACAGAGACGCCAGGGAGAGTCTAGTTGTGAGGCGCCTCAAAACTAGTCTGCAGCAGAAACAGCCACGAGTCATCAGGAGTGCTCACAGGTATGCCAGCGACTGCAGCCTGCTGACTAGTTCTGCCGGCCTCAAGCCCACGAATCGATCCCGTTGCTGCTGCTGCTTGGGAGAGCAGCGGGGTGCCCTGGGGGTAGACAATGCTTGCCGGACCAAAGAAGTAGTTGCGGGAGAGACATGAGAAGAGCTTACAGGTATGCCAGTGACTGCAGCTTGCTGACTAATTCTGCTGGCCTCCCACTGAGGGCGTTGTTGCTGACGTCACTGCAGAGAGTAGTAGGTGGGTGGGTGGGTGAGGAAGGGAGAGGGAGGGTGGGAAGGGGGTGTTGCATATGCGCGGGACAGAAAAGGCCAAGTACAGAAAACACCAGAGTCGACCTAAAGTTCACCTCAAAGTTGGGAGAACGAATAGAGAGGCGAACTTAAGATGGCAATGGAGAGGGGGTAGTATAGAGGCGAGAGTAGAGCAAAGAGAGACACGGATGGTAGGTAACTGAGGATCGTAGAAAAGCAACTATCTTGGGTGTGAGAATTCTCAAAGAGCAAACAGAGGAAGGAATGGGAGTTGATCACTGGTGGTGGTCCACCAAAAAGTGCAGGGATCAAACTTGAAGGCATTCCAGAGATCAGAAATAAGAGGTGGGAAATGAGAAACAACAGGAAATAAGAGAATTAAGAAACACGAAATGGGAAATGAGAAGAAACATAAAAGGCAATGGAAAAGCAAAATAAAAAAAATGTTAAAGAATAGAACTACAAATGGAAACTTACAGTGACACAAGTGATGTGCATGTAGAGACGGTGCAAGGCAGCACACCACTGAGCCTGTTATAAGACATGTCTCTAACGAGGATAGTAAGAATGGGAGTGTGAAGGGGCAGAGGGGAGCAGAGGGATAGGAGAAGTATGCTGAGCTCCTGATGCTTGGAGACAACTTAACCGCCTCAGACGAAAAAGAGAATGAAGGCAGAGAGGAGAGGAGGGATCAAGCGAGGGCGAGTGAGACAGATGGGATCGGAGAAGTATGGTGAGCTCCTGATGCTGTGAGACACAAATTAACCGCCTCAGACGAAAAAGAGAGCAGCGGCAGGGCAGCGAATGGGAGGGATGGAGCTGGGGGGAGCAGAGGGAATAGGAGAAGTATGGTGGCTCTTGATGCTGTGATACAACTTAGCCGCCTCAAACGAAAAAAAAAAAGGCGACGGCAGGGAATGGGAGTGCGTGGAGCTATGGGGGGGAGTATGAAAATTCCAATGCTCTAAGGCAACCGTTTAAACACCTCCAACAAAAAAAGGGATTGAGGGAGGGCGAGTGAGACAGGCTGAGGTAGAGAACTGACAGACTAGGAAGGGGGGGGAAGGAAGGGGAGGGGAGTTATGAGTGAGTGAGGCAGGGAGGGGGGGAGGAAAGGAGGGAGGGGGGGAGAGACGGAGGGAGGAAGGGAGGGGGGGAGAGACGGAGGGAGGAAGGGAGGGTGGGAGAGATGGAGGGAGGAAGGGAGGGATGGGGGGAGAGACGGAGGAGGAAGGGAGGGGGGGAGAGAGGGAGGGAAGAGAGAGTCCACTGTGTGCTCACAAGGTGTTTAACCCATTGCCAGCAGGAAAGATGTCAGGAACCGTGCCGTTAAGTTGGTTGCGGGAGAGGTCTCTGCAGGTGGTTGATGGGAGACGGAGAGGGGGGGGAGGGGGAGAGGGAGAGAGGGGAAAATGGAAACCGTGCCGTTCGGTTAGTTGGGAAAAAAACCATCGAAAAACCATAGAACAACCACAGATCAACCATAGAACAACCATAGAACAACCATAGAACAACCCCGGCGAGAAATCCTCGCCCCTGGGCGAGGGAAAAAATCCTCACCTCCAAAACTCAAGGTTCGAAGATCCGTTTTGCAAAAAAAGGCATACAGGTGAAAGAGATAAGGAAGGTTGACCAGGGAGGTCGGAATGTCGCCCACAAATTTGTTGCGATCCAATTGGCTGGTGGGAGAGAGGGAGGGAGGGGAGGTGGGGAGGGAAGGGGGGGGGAGGGAGAGGGGAGGGAAGGGGGAGGGAGGGAGGGGAGGGAAGGGGGAGGGAGGGAGGGGAGAGAGAGGTAAGATAGGTTTTGACCAGAGACCTACACTACACTGGAGTCATTTTTTAGAATTCTAAAAAATCACCAATGACCAGGGTAGTTGGGATCTCGCCCTCAAGGTAACAGGGTAACAAAGCAACAAAGAAATAGAGTAGCAGCATCAAGAGAGTAAGATGGTAAGAATAGAAGTGTAAGAGAATAAGAGGGTAAGAGAGTAAGAGGGTAAGAGAGTAAGAGGGTAAGAGAGTAAGAGGGAGGGTAAGAGAGTGAGAGGGTAAGAGAGTGAGAGGGTAAGAGAGTGAGAGGGTAAGAGAGTAAGAGGGTAAGAGAGTAAGAGGGTAAGAGAGTAAGAGGGTAAGAGAGTAAGAGGGTAAGAGTGTAAGAGAGTAAGAGGGTAAGAGAGTAAGAGGGTAAGAGGGTAAGAGAGTAAGAGGGTAAGAGAGTAAGAGGGTAAGAGAGTGAGAGGGTAAGAGAGTGAGAGGGTAAGAGAGTAAGAGGGTAAGAGAGTAAGAGAGTAAGAGGGTAAGAGAGTAAGAGGGTAAGAGAGTAAGAGGGTAAGAGAGTAAGAGGGTAAGAGAGTAAGAGGGTAAGTGAGTAAGAGAGTAAGAGGGTAAGAGAGTAAGAGGGTAAGAGGGTAAGAGAGTAAGAGGGTAGGAGAGTAAGAGGGTAAGAGAGTAAGAGAGTAAGAGGGTAAGAGAGTAAGAGGGTAAGAGAGTAAGAGAGTAAGAGGGTAAGAGAGTAAGAGGGTAAGAGAGTACAAGGGTAAGAGGACAGGGAAGGGAGGAGGTAGGAGATAGAGCCGGGGGTGGGAGGGATGCGATTAGAGGAAGTAAAGTTACAGGTCGAAGGTAACAAAGTAACACGAAAAGGCCGGTTACAGGTGAAAGCTAACGGGTTGACATGAAAGGGGGGGAAGGGGGGGAAGGGGATGGGGGGGGGGGTACACAGGTCGAAGCTAACGGGTAACACTGTAACATGAACTGAGAGCTTACTGAGAGGTAAGAAAGGGATTCGAGGGTGGGAGAGGTGATGCAACCGGAGAAAGGGCATGGCACAGGGGAAAGAAAACAGAGCAACAGACAGGGTAACATAATAAAATGGCAATAAGGTGCCATGGTAACAGGGTAACATGTAACAGGCTAGCATGGTAACAGGGTAACATGGTAACTTGGTAACAGGGTAACAGGTATGGTAACAGGGTAACACGGTAACAGGGTAACATGGTAACATGTAGCGTGGTAACAGGGTAACATGGTAACAGTAACAGGGTAACGTGGTAACAGGGTAACTGTTAACAGGGTGACATCACAGGGAGGCTTACAGGTACTCAAGGTAAGAGAGGGAGTTGAGGGCAGGAGGGATGCGACCCGAGAGGGTGTTGTTGCTGACAGTACTGGTGTGAGGGACGAGAAATATGGGAAGGGAGAGAGAGATCGAGGGGGAGAGTAATAGATAAATTTCACATTCTGAACCGTGGAGGGTACTCAACGGTGACTATTGAGTCGACTCAAAAGTCACGGTGACGAGGTGACTTTTGAGTCGACTCAAAAGTCACCACATTCTGAACCGAGGAGGGTACTCAACGGTGGAAAGAGGGCATGGGAGGGGCAGAGGAAAAGCGACGGAGAGAAAGAGGTATGGCGTAGGCTAGCCAGGGGGGGGTTAGGACGCATGCTTCTACCTGCCCCACATGCCTAGCTATGTACCCCGGATTCCCATGAATGTGAAGGACCGCTTGAGAGGCATGGCCAAATTTCACATTCAACCACTTTGCACCGCTCTGAACCGAGTAGGGTACTCACAGGTAAGAGAGCATGGAGAGGGCAGTGAGGGACAGAGGGAGAGAGGACGAGAGACGGTTGGAGTCGAGGAACCTGCCCAGTGAAGGGAAGAGGGGGGAGACGGAGGGGGGGGGGAGGGAAAGGGGGCGGGGGGAAGGGGGAAGAGGTTGGAACAAAGGGAAGGCTTGAGGGGCATGACAGACAGAGGGAGAGAGGACGAGAGACGGTTGGAGTCGAGAAACCTGCACAGTGCAGGGGGAAAGAGGAAGGGGGGCGGGCGGACGGGGGGAGAGGGGAGAGAGGAGGGAGGGGAGGAGAGAGAGGGAGGGGGGAGAGGAGAGAGGGGGGGGGGGAGAGGAGAGAGAGGGAGGGGAGAGAGAGAGAGAGAGAGAGAGAGAGAGAGAGAGAGGGGGGGAGAGAGAGAGCGGGAGGGGGGAGAGAGAGAGAGGGAGGGGGGGGGGGAGAGAAGAGGCAAGGGAAGTTGAGAAGGTGGGGGTGCGGCGAGGATTTCTTGACGAGGATTTCTTGAGTCCACTCAAAAGCCTGCTACTGAGTCGACTCAAACATGGAAAGGGAGAGAAGCAGAGAGGGAGAGAGACGGTTGGAACGAGAAAAAACAGCACAGAGAGAATGGGGAAAGATGGTTCAAATGAGTGAGAGAGAAACGGAAAGATGGGGTTGGCAGGAGACGGAGGAGGAGGGGAGGGGTTTGGTGGGAGAGGAGATGGGGGGTGGGGGGTTCACAACGGAAGGAACGACAAGAGGGGCGTGAAGCACAGGCAACAACGAAGAGTATCTGGGCCGCCATCGGCGCTGCTACTAGTCTAGCCTCACGGGTATCCGAGCCTCACAGGTATCCGAGCCTCACAGGTATCCGAGCCTCACAGGTATCCGAGCCTCACAGGTATCCGAGCCTCACAGGTATCCGAGCCTCACAGGTATCCGAGCCTCACAGGTATCCGAGCCTCACAGGTATCTGAGCCTCACAGGTATCCGAGCCTCACAGGTATCCGAGCCTCACAGGTATCTGAGCCTCGTCAGTCTACTCATTGTCGCAGGGATGGAGCCCGACAGGCGATTGTTGGTAAAATAGCTGAAAGGGTTCAAAGTGGGGAAGGGGAGAATCGGGAGACGGGGGGGGGGGGGGGGTGAGAGGGGGAGAGGGAGGGGGGGAGAAAGGGAAGGGTGGCGACGATTGGTTAGCTGATTGCAGCAAAGATGGAGCCTGACCTGAGAGGCTGTTGTTGCTCAAATAACTGAGGGGGGTGAAGGGGGGAGGGGGAGAATGCGACGATAAAGGGGGGAAAGGCGGAGTGGGGAAGGGAGGGAGGGGGGCAGGGGGAGGGGGTGTGGGGGAGGAAAGGAAGGGTGACGAGACGATCAATCTGCTGATTGCAGCGGGGATGGAGCCTGAGAGGCGATTGTTACTCAAATAGCTAAGAGGGGTGAAGGGGAGGGGCGCATGGGAAGGAAGACAAGGGAGGAAAGGAGGAAGGGGGGAGGAGGGGAGCGGGGAGAGGGAGACGATCGATTGCTGGTTGCAGCAGGGATGGAGCCTGAGAAACGATTGTTGCTCAAGCAGCTGGGAGGGGTGACGGGAAGGGGCGGGACGAAAGGGAAGAGAGGGAAAGGGGTGGAGGGGAGTGGGGGAGGAAGAAAAGGAAGAGTGACAATCACTTTGCTGGTTGCAGCAGGGATGGAGCCTGAATGACGATTGTTGCTCAAGCACCTGAGAGGGGTGAAGAGGAGGGATGCATGGGAAGACACGGGAGGAATGGAGGACGGGTGGAGGATCGGGAGGGGAGAGGGAGACGATTGATTGCTGGTTGCAGCAGGGATGGAGCTTGAGAGGCGACTGTTGCTGAAGCAGCGGAGAGGGGTGAAGGGGAGGGGCGAATGGGAAGGAAGACAAGGGAGGAATGGAGGACGGGGGGAGGGGAGGCCCAGGAGGGGCGCATGGGAAGGAAGTCGAGAGGGGGAAGGAAGACAAGAGGGGACGGAAGCCAAGGGAAGACAAGTAGCAATGCGTGATATGAAACAGACAAACGATGCCAGGCACGAGGGAAGCATGGCGGTTTACAGCCAGAAGAGCTTGCTGCATTCAGCCAGAGTGCGAGAGAAAACGGACAAACGATGCCATCCATGATGTGCAATATGAAACGGAAGAAAGGCGGCTTACAGCCAGAAGAGCTTGGAGCATGCAGCCAGAGTGGATGGGATGGATGACGTCAGCATGTTGTCCCTCAAGTCCCTGCCATGCCATGCCATGCCGTGCCATGGCAAAGCATGCGGGCATAACACATGTGATGCATGCATGAATGGCACAAGACGTCAGCCAGAAGGGCTTGGAGACCAGACTAGGGCTTTAAGCTATATCACAGCAGCTGCAGGGCTTGAAAACTGAGACTAGGGCTTTAAGCTATCTCACAGCAGCTGGTACAGGGCTTGGAGTCCAAACGAGGGATTTAAGCTATATCACAGCAGCTCCAGGGCTTGAAAGCCAGGGCTTTAAGCTACTCACAGTAATTGCAGGGCTTGGAGTCGAGAGATTAGAGGGGCAATGCCGCCCGAGAGTCGGTTGGACCGAAGGGAGCTGCGAAGGGCACAGAGGAGGGAAGGGAAAAAAAGAGGGGCGCAGGGAATCCTTGGACATTTTACCCGTCTCCTGACGCCGCGCTCACTGGAAGATGTCCAAGGAAAAAAAGAGGGGCAGGGGGAATGAGTGTGTTTTGGAGTCGCCTCAAGAGTGGACAGAGGGGCATGAAGTTGAGAAAGAAGCACCGAGGGGCGAAATGGTGCCGGAAGAAAGCAGAAAGAAGAGGTGCTTTTGAGTCGACTCAAAAGCAGAAAGAAGCACAGAGGGTCGAAATGCTTTTGAGTCGACTAAAAAGCAGAAAGAACCACAGAGGGGCGAAATGGTGCCGGAGACTCCGTGGGATCGAAGGGAGCTGCCAAGGGTACATAGGAGAGTAGGGTCACAGACAGACACAGGCGTAAGGGAATGAAAAAACCACCCGAATTCCTGCCAGAGAGAGGGTTGGATCGAAGGGAGCTGCGGGCACAGAGGAGTAGAGGGGGGCCTGTAGGGGTGTGGGAAGTATGATGAGAACGGAGTGTATGATGGTTATTGAGTCTACAGAAAAACCACAGAGAAATGCTGCCGGAGAGACGGAGGGTTGGATCGAAGAGAGCAGCGGGCTCAGAGGAAGGAAGGGGTGCATTGAGGTGAAGGGGTGCATTGAGGTGAAGGGGTGCATTGAGGTGAAGGGGTGCATTGAGGTGAAGGGGTGCATTGAGGTGAAGGGGTGCATTGAGGTGAAGGGGTGCATTGAGGTGAAGGGGTGCATTGAGGTGAAGGGGTGCATTGAGGTGAAGGGGTGCATTGAGGTGAAGGGGTGCATTGAGGTGAAGGGGTGCATTGAGGTGAAGGGGTGCATTGAGGTGAAGGGGTGCATTGAGGTGAAGGGGTGCATTGAGGTGAAGGGGTGCATTGAGGTGAAGGGGTGCATTGAGGTGAAGGGGTGCATTGAGGTGAAGGGGTGCATTGAGGTGAAGGGGTGCATTGAGGTGAAGGGGTGCATTGAGGTGAAGGGGTGCATTGAGGTGAAGGGGTGCATTGAGGTGAAGGGGTGCATTGAGGTGAAGGGGTGCATTGAGGTGAAGGGGTGCATTGAGGTGAAGGGGTGCATTGAGGTGAAGGGGTGCATTGAGGTGAAGGGGTGCATTGAGGTGAAGGGGTGCATTGAGGTGAAGGGGTGCATTGAGGTGAAGGGGGGAGGGGGGTGCATTGAGGTGAAGGGGTGCATTGAGGTGAAGGGGTGCATTGAGGTGAAGGGGTGCATTGAGGTGAAGGGGTGCATTGAGGTGAAGGGGTGCATTGAGGTGAAGGGGTGCATTGAGGTGAAGGGGTGCATTGAGGTGAAGGGGTGCATTGAGGTGAAGGGGTGCATTGAGGTTGAAGGGGTGCATTGAGGTGAAGGGGTGCATTGAGGTGAAGGGGTGCATTGAGGTGAAGGGGTGCACACAGCACAGGAGGAATTGAGGTGAAGGGGTGCACACAGCACAGGAGGAATTGAGGTGAAGGGGTGCACACAGCACAGGAGGAATTGAGGTGAAGGGGTGCACACAGCACAGGAGGAATTGAGGTGAAGGGGTGCACACAGCACAGGAGGAATTGAGGTGAAGGGGTGCACACAGCACAGGAGGAATTGAGGTGAAGGGGTGCACACAGCACAGGAGGAATTGAGGTGAAGGGGTGCACACAGCACAGGAGGAATTGAGGTGAAGGGGTGCACACAGCACAGGAGGAATTGAGGTGAAGGGGTGCACACAGCACAGGAGGAATTGAGGTGAAGGGGTGCACACAGCACAGGAGGAATTGAGGTGAAGGGGTGCACACAGCACAGGAGGAATTGAGGTGAAGGGGTGCACACAGCACAGGAGGAATTGAGGTGAAGGGGTGCACACAGCACAGGAGGAATTGAGGTGAAGGGGTGCACACAGCACAGGAGGAATTGAGGTGAAGGGGTGCACACAGCACAGGAGGAATTGAGGTGAAGGGGTGCACACAGCACAGGAGGAATTGAGGTGAAGGGGTGCACACAGCACAGGAGGAATTGAGGTGAAGGGGTGCACACAGCACAGGAGGAATTGAGGTGAAGGGATGCACACAGCACAGGAGGAATTGAGGTGAAGGGGTGCACACAGCACAGGAGGAATTGAGGTGAAGGGGTGCACACAGCACAGGAGGAATTGAGGTGAAGGGGTGCACACAGCACAGGAGGAATTGAGGTGAAGGGGTGCACACAGCACAGGAGGAATTGAGGTGATGAGGTATTGACAGAAGAGGGGCCACCTCAAGAGGTATTGACAGAAGAGGGCCACCTCAAGAGGTATTGACAGAAGAGGGGCCACCTCAAAAGGTATTGACAGAAGAGGGGCCACCTCAAGAGGTATTGACAGAAGAGGGGCCACCTCAAGAGGTATTGACAGAAGAGGGGCCACCTCAAGAGGTATTGACAGACGAGGGGCCACCTCAAGAGGTATTGACAGAAGAGGGGCCACCTCAAGAGGTATTGACAGAAACACCAAGAGGTAGGTAGGGGCATGTGTCCTTTTAGAATTCTAGAAAAAACACCAGAGAGCAGCGGGCACAGATGAGGGGGGGGACGGGGTCCAAGCAGTGCAGTAGGAATTGAGCTGACAAGCTATTAACAGATACACCACGAGGCGGGGGCACTCAGAGGTAGGAGGCGATGGTGAGGGAGTAAAGCTGGGAGGGAATGGCAGGAGGAAGGATAGCAACAGGCAGAGAGAGAGAGGCAAGGGTACTCACAGGTAGGAGATGTTAGTGAGGGAGTAGAGTTGGGACGGGATGGAGCCCTGAAACTTATTGCCGTCCAAGCGACTGAAGAGAAGCCGGGGAGACAGGGGAAGAAGGGATGTCGAGGAGTGTTAGTGCTGATGGTGCGAGAACGGAGGAGGGGTGTAAATGCTGGTGGTGCGAGAACGGAGGAGGGGTGTTAATGCTGGTGGTGCGAGAACGGAGGAGGGGTGTAATGTGGGAGGGGTCGGATCGGAGCCCTGAAGCCAATTCTCATCCCGTCCAAGCGAAAAAGATGGAATGAGCAAGGAGGGGAGAGAGGATGGGTGGGAGGGATGGCTTTTGAGTCGACTCAAAAGTCACCTAGTCGACTCAAAAGTCACCTAGTCGACTCAAAAGTCACCTAGTCGACTCAAAAGTCACCTAGTCGACTCAAAAGTCACCTAGTCGACTCAAAAGTCACCTAGTCGACTCAAAAGTCACCTAGTCGACTCAAAAGTCACCTAGTCGACTCAAAAGTCACCTAGTCGACTCAAAAGTCACCTAGTCGACTCAAAAGTCACCTAGTCGACTCAAAAGTCACCTAGTCGACTCAAAAGTCGCCTAGTCGACTCAAAAGTCACCTAGTCGACTCAAAAGTCGCCTAGTCGACTCAAAAGTCGCCTAGTCGACTCAAAAGTCACCTAGTCGACTCAAAAGTCGCCTCAATTCCCGTCCTAGTGAAAAAGTTGGAATGAGCAAGGAGAGAGCATGGGTGGGAGGGATGGAGCGTGGGAGGGTAGGGTAGGAGTGAAAGGGCAATCATCTGCTTTTGAGTCGACTCAAGAGCATGGAATGAGTGAGGGGAGAGAGGAGGGGAAAACGAGAGCGGGCGAAAGTGTGTGGGGGGGGGGGGAGGGAGGAGGGCCCAGGGAGAGGGATGGGGCATACAGGAAGGCAAGGCGGGAGAGTTTGGCAAGGCCAGTGGGGATGCTGCCTGTGAGCTGATTCTGAGCCAAGTTGCTGCGAGGGGAATGGGGGGAGTGGGGAAGGGAGGGGGGATGGCAAGTGTTTCAGGAGTGTCTGTTGCTCAAGGGAAAAAAGCGTTGCTGAGGAAAAAAATAGTTTGGCAAGGCCAGCGGGAATGCTGCCTGTGAGCTGGTGAGGCTATTCTTGTATAAATGACGTTACAATCACAACTGGCCTGCATCTTTTTAGAGATACCAGTGCAATACACTACATTATATGCTCATAGAACACGGTATACTGCATTTACAAATGTGCGGCCTACAGTGTGCGCAGCTGCAGCAGCCTCGTCACGGAGGAAGGGAAGGTTCCAGGAATGTTATTGAAGCCTAAGTGGCTGGAGGGGAGAGCGGGAGAGAGGGGAGGGAGGGAGGGAGGGGAGGGAAGGGAAGGGGCGGGGGAGGGGGGAGGAGGAGACATAGGGGGCAAAGTATGTGGGAGGGGAAGTGGGGGAGATGAGGGGAAGAGGGAATAGGGGAGGGGAAGACTGTGGGTGTACAGATCAGTGAGAGTGGAGGTGCATTGTGCAAGGATGGAGGGAGGGAGTGATGTGGTGTGTGTATAGAAAAGAGTGTAAGCAAAGCTTTTGAGTGAGTGAGTGAGGAGGAGAGCATACAGAGAATATGTGTGAGGGGTGCGTGAGTGAGTAGGTGAATTCGAGTCTGTGGGTGTACACGGTAGTGAGGGTGGATCTGAGCTGTACTAAGGTGGAGGGGTTATGTTGATATTGCGATGCACAGAGGATATGATATGAGTGAGTGAGTGAGCGAGTGTGTATGTGAGAGAGCAGGGAAAGAGGGGGCGTACAGAGCAGTGAGGGTGGAGCTGAGCTGTATTAGTGTGGAGGGAAGGCTGGTCACGTTGCTGCCGATGGAACTGCTTATAACGGGGATGTGGGAAAGCAGAGAAAACAAAACTTACATATGCCGAGAACAGCAATCAAACCAACGAGGGATCGATTTTCTGGTTCCTAATAAAAAGAAAGCTTACGCCAAGAACTGGTTACTGGTATGCCCTAGCCTAGTTTTGAGGCGCCTCAAAACTGGTTACTGGTATGCTCTAGCCTAGACGAAACATGCCCCAACGAGGGGAGGCTTGGGAGAATGTCAGGCATTGGGACGAGATCTGGATCTGAACGAGCACAATAACGAGTCTCATGAACACTAACGGGACACGCTATAAAGGGTACGGCACGCCACACCCCCGGCTGGAGAGAGACAGCACTTGTCCAGCACGAGCACATGATAAGGAATACAGGCATCGAGCGGGTAAGGGCAGATCCCTTCAGGAAAGCAGGGGGAAAGTGCCAGGGGGGAAGGGCCATGGGGAAAGAGCCAGGGGGGAAGGGCCAGGGGGAAAGAGCCAGGGGGGAAGGGCCAGGGGGAAAGTGCCAGGGGGGAAGAGCCAGGGGGAAAGAGCCAGGGGGAAGGGCCAGGGGGAAAGAGCCAGGGGGGAAGGGCCAGGGGGGAAGGGCCAGGGGGAAAGAGCCAGGGGGGAAGGGCCAGGGGGGAAGGGCCAGGGGGAAGAGCCAGGGGGGAAGAGCCAGGGGGGAAGGGCCAGGGGGGAAGGGCCGGGGGGGAAGGGCCAGGGGGAAAGAGCCAGGAGGGAAGGGCCAGGGGGAAAGAGCCAGGGGGGAAGGGCCAGGGGGAAAGAGCCAGGGGGGAAGGGCCAGGGGAAAGAGCCAGGGGGGAAGGGCCATGGGGAAAAAGCCAGGGGGGAAGGGCCAGGGGGAAAGAGCCAGGGGGGAAGGGCCAGGGGGAAAGAGCCAGGGGGAAAGAGCCAGGGGGGAAGAGCCAGGGGAAAGAGCCAGGGGGAAGGGCCAGGGGGAAAGAGCCAGGGGGAAGAGCCAGGGGGGAAGGGCCAGGGGCAAGAGCCAGGGGGGAAGGGCCAGGGGGGAAGAGCCAGGGGGGAAGAGCGGAGGGGAAAGATTGGAGGGGAGCCTTACAGGAATGAGAGTGATGGGAGGTTGCCAACGGCGCTTGGGAGGGGCCCCACCACTCCCACTAGGGTGCTGCGGTGTAGCCAGAAAGAAAGAAGGTGGAGAGGTGTGGTAAGATGCCAGGTGAGCAGGGGCGCTATACAAAGTGAGCTGGTTCTGGACAATTCTCAGTAGCCAAAAGGAAAGAAGAGAAGTGTGGAAGGTAAGAAGTGTGTCAAATGTGAGAAGTGAAAATCAATCAAGGTGAGCAGGGGCGCTATACAGATGGAAAAAAAAAATGGATTCGATCCGCAGCACGCTCCCTGAGTGGATCTAAAGCTAAGACTACACTGAGACACGAGAGAGAAAGGTTACAGAGAAATCTCTTAGACAGGGGTATCCCTTTACCTACGGTTACTCTAACAGTAAAGTTTTTTCTCCTAGCTTCTGCTCGCCCTGACGCTTATGGCTACAGGCTTGAACGACCCTCGCACTGCAGCAACAATTAGCTTCTGAGCTGATCTAACACTTAGCTTCTAAGAAACAGTTCATCAGCCACCCGGTTAATCATTCACAGCGCGCGCGGTAACACAACCGTCACTGCCTCCTCTGCTCACGACGCGGTAGCACAACCGTTACCGCCTCCTCTGCTCACAGCGCGGTAACACAACCGTTACCGCCTCCTCTGCTCACAGCGCGGTAACACAACCGTTACCGTCTCCTCTGCTCACAGTGCGGTAACACAACCGTTACCGCCTCCTCTGCTCACAGCGCAGTAACACAACCGTTACCGCCTCCTCTGCTCACAGCACGGTAACACAACCGTTACCGCCTCCTCTGCTCACAGCACGGCAACACAACCGTTACCGCCTCCTCTGCTCACAGCGCGGTAACACAACCGTTGATCTCGCAGCACACCACCCCGTAGAGAGCCTCGCACTTCTCCCACTCCTACCGGACACCCTAGGGCTGTGGTTAGGGTTACCACCAACCAACAAACTCACAGCACAGGACACCCTAGGGCTGTGCACAGGGTTACCACCAACCAACGAACTCACAGCACAGGACACCCTAGGGCTGTGCGTAGGGTTACCACCAACCAACGAACTCACAGCGCAGTAACAAATCCGTTGATGTCGCACACCACCCCGTACAGAGCCTCGCAGTTATCCCCACTCTTCCAGAACGCCTGGGGGCTGCGGCTGGGGTTGACAAAGGTCGTCTGGTCCCTGAGAGCCACGAGGGCTTGCCCTGCAAGGGACAAGGGGAGAGAGACGAGGCTAGGGTATTGGGACCACTCTTCCACACGCATACTGTGCTACAGGCTGCGGCTGGGGTTGACAAAGGTCGCCTGGTCCCTGAGAGTCACGAGGGCTTGCCCTGCGCGGAACACGGCACAAGGGGAGAGAGAAGAGGCTAGGGTTGTTGAGATCACACTTCCAGACGCCTGGGGGCTGCAGCTGGGGTTGACAAGGTCGACTGGTCCCTTAAAGAAACGAGGGACCGCCCTGCACTCAAGGGAGACGGGGAAAGAGGAGGAATCAGAACCGAAGAGACAAGGGTATGTTGACCACTCTCCCAGTCTAGTACGCCTGGGGGCTGCGGCTAGGGTTGACAAAGGTCGGCTGCACCCTGGGAGCCACGAGGGCGTGCCCTGGCGTGGGGGCGAGGGAGTGCGGGGGGGGGGGGGGTGGGTGGGGGAAAGGGGGGTGGGGGGAGGGAGGGGGAAGGAACAGGGAAATGGGGGAAGGGGGAGCGGGAAGTGGGGGGAGAGACGATGAGGGTCTATGCGGACCCTCATGAGTGGGGCAGACCAATCAACCAGTCCAGTACGCCTTGCAGCTGCGATTAGGGTTAACGAAAGCCACGTGGCCGGCCGGTCCTTCAGAGCAGCGAGGGCTTGTCGTGCAGCGCAATGGACAGGGGCGACAGCCCTTAGGGAAACGAGAGCTCCGCCTGAAAGCAAGGGACAGACAGGGGCGACAGCCCTTAGGGAAACGAGGGCTCGGCCTCAAAGCAAGGGACAGACAGGGGCGACAGCCCTTAGGGAAACGAGGGCTCGGCCTGAAAGCAAGGACCAGACAGGGGCGACAGCCCTTAGGGAAACGAGGGCTCGGCCTCAAAGCAAGGGACAGACAGGGGCGACAGCCCTTAGGGAAACGAGGGCTCGGCCTCAAAGCAAGGGACAGACAGGGGCGACAGCCCTTAGGGAAACGAGGGCTCGGCCTCAAAGCAAGGGACAGACAGGGGCGACAGCCCTTAGGGAAACGAGGGCTCGGCCTCAAAGCAAGGGACAGACAGGGGCGACAGCCCTTAGGGAAACGAGGGCTCGGCCTGAAAGCAAGGACCAGACAGGGGCGACAGCCCTTAGGGAAACGAGGGCTCGGCCTCAAAGCAAGGGACAGACAGGGGCGACAGCCCTTAGGGAAACGAGGGCTCGGCCTCAAAGCAAGGGACAGACAGGGACGACAGCCCTTAGGGAAACGAGGGCTCGGCCTCAAAGCAAGGGACAGACAGGGGCGACAGCCCTTAGGGAAACGAGGGCTCGGCCTCAAAGCAAGGGACAGACAGGGGCGACAGCCCTTAGGGAAACGAGGGCTCGGCCTCAAAGCAAGGGACAGACAGGGGCGACAGCCCTTAGGGAAACGAGGGCTCGGCCTCAAAGCAAGGGACAGACAGGGGCGACAGCCCTTAGGGAAACGAGGGCTCGGCCTCAAAGCAAGGGACAGACAGGGGCGACAGCCCTTAGGGAAACGAGGGCTCGGCCTCAAAGCAAGGGACAGACAGGGGCGACAGCCCTTAGGGAAACGAGGGCTCGGCCTCAAAGCAAGGGACAGACAGGGGCGACAGCCCTTAGGGAAACGAGGGCTCGGCCTCAAAGCAAGGGACAGACAGGGGCGACAGCCCTTAGGGAAACGAGGGCTCGGCCTGAAAGCAAGGACCAGACAGGGGCGACAGCCCTTAGGGAAACGAGGGCTCGGCCTCAAAGCAAGGGACAGACAGGGGCGACAGCCCTTAGGGAAACGAGGGCTCGGCCTCAAAGCAAGGGACAGACAGGGGCGACAGCCCTTAGGGAAACGAGGGCTCGGCCTCAAAGCAAGGGACAGACAGGGGCGACAGCCCTTAGGGAAACGAGGGCTCGGCCTCAAAGCAAGGGACAGACAGGGGCGACAGCCCTTAGGGAAACGAGGGCTCGGCCTCAAAGCAAGGGACAGACAGGGGCGACAGCCCTTAGGGAAACGAGGGCTCGGCCTCAAAGCAAGGGACAGACAGGGGCGACAGCCCTTAGGGAAACGAGGGCTCGGCCTCAAAGCAAGGGACAGACAGGGGCGACAGCCCTTAGGGAAACGAGGGCTCGGCCTCAAAGCAAGGGACAGACAGGGGCGACAGCCCTTAGGGAAACGAGGGCTCGGCCTGAAAGCAAGGACCAGACAGGGGCGACAGCCCTTAGGGAAACGAGGGCTCGGCCTCAAAGCAAGGGACAGACAGGGGCGACAGCCCTTAGGGAAACGAGGGCTCGGCCTCAAAGCAAGGGACAGACAGGGGCGACAGCCCTTAGGGAAACGAGGGCTCGGCCTCAAAGCAAGGGACAGACAGGGGCGACAGCCCTTAGGGAAACGAGGGCTCGGCCTCAAAGCAAGGGACAGACAGGGGCGACAGCCCTTAGGGAAACGAGGGCTCGGCCTCAAAGCAAGGGACAGACAGGGGCGACAGCCCTTAGGGAAACGAGGGCTCGGCCTCAAAGCAAGGGACAGACAGGGGCGACAGCCCTTAGGGAAACGAGGGCTCGGCCTCAAAGCAAGGGACAGACAGGGGCGACAGCGAGTGGAGCATGTGCTGATCGCTCGTCCGCCCTAATATGCCTTGGGGGCTGCGATTAGGGTTCACAAAAATCAGCCGTCTAAAAGGGTCGACCTACGAGTTACAGCTCATGCGATACAGCTCATGCGTTACAGCTCATGCGTTACAGCTCATGCAATACAGCTCATGCAATACATCCACATGACCGACCCACAGTCCACGTGTCAGCAATCCATGAGCAGCTGTGCTAGATAAACCATAGGGCTAAATCCACGGACTAGAAACCACGGAAATAGAATCCACGGCTAAAACCACATATCTCACAGCCCAAGTGTTTCAACCAGTTAGGTGTACCTTACAACCCGTGCGTTCAACCCGTACGTTACATCCCGTACGTTACAAAGTCGTGCGTTACAGATACAACAACATGTTACAGCCCCACTCTTACCGACTGTATGTTACAACCCGCGCGTTACAGCCCGTTACAGCCCTTGCATTACAACCCGTATGCTCAACCCGTACATCACACCCTGTGCGTTGCAACCCGTACGGTACAAACCGTACATCACCACCCATACGTTACACAACCCGCTCGCACAAGCCCCGTACGTTACAACCCGTCCGTTACAACCCGTTACAACCACTTGTGACACCTTTGACTCACAATCAGGCGGGAAGACGCGCGTGCCCCAAGACGCCATGGCGCCAGACGAATACCGCGGCAGGCGCTGCTGCGGAAGCTGAGACCGCAGCGGGTGCCGCAGCGGGTGCTGCCGATGGTACTGCATGGTCGGCGCGAGCAAGAGGAGCACGAGCGCGCAAACGCAACATAGCCGCTCCTGCCGCTGCCGCCGCCGCCACTGCCATCCTAAAATAGGCCGGAACAGGCCCCCGTTTGTGTCACTCCGCACTACGCCACTCCGCGCTACGTCACCCCGCATCACGTCACTTCCGATTACGTCACTCCCCACTACGTCACTACCGATTACGTCACTGCCCATGGTGTCACTACCCGTTAAGAAGCTCCCCATTGAGTTAAACCCCCATTGTGTCACTTCTTGACTAAGGACATTCCAACGACGCAGCTGTGTTTGGCGAGCTGCTTCGGGATGCGAGCTTCGAGATGCGAGCTTCGGAATGCGACCCTAAGAATGCGAGTTTCGGGAGCGAGCTTCGGGATGCGATTCGGGGTCGAGGCGACAAAAGCTAAGGACGGAGAACTAATAAGGGACGCGGCGGTAGGGGATGCGGACAAAACGCGGAGAGCGGAAGCGGGGAGCGCGGAGCCGGGATTGCGAACAGGCGCGCGGAAATGAAGCACACGAGGGAGGCGGAAGAACCAAAGGAGCAGAGTGGACAAGCGAAGAAACCTACCTACCTCCCTGGACTGTACCTCCCACCTCCCTTCCCTTGTTTTTGTGTGCATGAAGGGTGGGCCCAGGTCCAGCCTGAGGAAGATCCCGCCCGTCAACAGTCCCTTCCCTCCCATGTACAGTGCACGGTAGAGAAGCCCTTGCTTTGCCTGTGGGAGGGGCGGCGGCAGAGGCGAAGGGATGTTGGAGAGAGGAGGAAAGGGGAGGTGGGTCCGATGACGACACGACACTGGTCCTTAGGGCATGTCCCAAAAGTACGTCCGAATTCGTTTGAATGAGGTGAATTGCGTTTCAAAAATATCAAATAACACCATAACACGTTTCGGTGGGGTATTGGCAAAAAAAAACAAGAGACGACGCAATCGTCTTAGGGTTGCGGAGCCTACATATGTATATATATAAGTAGAATACATATACTTAAGCTAATTATCAAGCTTTGATGTGAAAATATCATAGTTATTTCATATATTCTATGTGAAATATTCAATCGATGGTGTATATCATATCAGTGCATTAATAAAAATACATACAATGTCATTGCATCTATCACAGTTAGAAATAGTTACATAGTTGTCTTTCATGTACATATGTATTTACTTTATTTTGATGCGCTTTAAGTTATACCTTGTGAATCAGAGTTTCCGCCACTGTTTCAAAATCGTGCAACGCTGATTGAATTGGTTCTACTGCTGTTCGTTTCTACTTGTACAAAATTCTGAAACGTTTGGTCCCTTATTGTTCCACTGTAGCCAAAATTTAGTAATGTATCCTATGTTTTTTGCGCGTTTTTTTTTTTTCTTTTTTCTTTTTTTCCCGCCTTTTCGTCAAATGCCCTGACGCTGGGATTTGTTGTGATTCTGTTTGATTATGTGGTGGTTGTTCCCACTGTAGACGACTTGTGACAAACGAATCTGGCCACTGTCAAACATGTGTATCTCCTATGTTTGCATAGATTGTATAGGGCCACCTCTTAGAGGGTACAACACTTAGGTATATTCACATGTACTCTCTCTCTCTACTCAATCATCCACTTCTCACTTTAATATGGTATCATACGTAAGTTAGGATCCCCCGCCTACCGCTTCCGCCCCTACCCTAGCTAGGCTCCGTCGCGCCCCTCCTAGCCCAGTCGCGCCCCTCCTAGCCCAGTCGCGCCCCTCCTAGGCCCTGCCGCGCCTCCTAGCCCCGTCGCGCCCCTCCTGGGCCCCGTCGCGCCTCCTAGCCCAATCGCGCCCCTCCTGGGCCCTGTCACACCTCCTAGCCCAGTCGCGCCCCTCCTGGGCCCCGTCGCGCCTCCTAGCCCAGTCGCGCCCCTCCTGGGCCCTGCCCGCGCCTCCTAGCCCCCGTCGCGCCCCTCCTGGGCCCCGTCGCGCCTCCTAGCCCAGTCGCGCCCCTCCTGGGCCCCGTCGCGCCTCCTAGCCCAGTCGCGCCCCTCCTGGGCCCCGTTGCGTCCCCCCTAGCCCCGCCGTGCCCCTTCTGGGCCCCGTCGCGCCCCTCTTGGGCCTCGTCGCGCCCTGCCTGGCCCCGCCGCGCCTGCTTGACCCCGCCGCGCCTGCCTGGCGCCCGTCCCAGCCGGCTCCACGTCCGCCCTCACGCCCTCCGCGCCCGTCTTCTCGGCCCCTGCGCCCATCCCAGCCAGCCCCGCGCCCGTCCCAGCCAGCCCCGCGCCCATCCCAGCCGGCCCCGCGCCCGTCCCGTCGGCCTGGTGCCCATTGCTTCTAGCCCCCGCGCCCGTCCTGCCCCGAGCTGTGTGCGGCCCGCCCGTCGTCCCTGCCCGGCCCTGCATCCTCCCTGGTACTGTTCCTCATCACCTGCACCGCACTGTACCGTCCTGCACAGCTCTGCACCGCACTGCACTGCACGGTACTGCCCTGCACCGCACTGCACCGTGCAGCACCGCACTGCACCGCGCTGCACCACGCTGCACCGCACTGCACCGCCCTGCATCGCACTGCACCGCGTTGCACAGTCCTGCACTGCTCCTGATGGCGGCGGAGCTTCGCTTCGACGCTGAAGGCCAGCCTCTGGAGTTTGAGGCTTGGCTCGCCGACCTCCGTCGCCACCTCACTCGTCATCGGCAGGATGGCCACCCGCTTTCCGCACACCTTGACGGTACGCACCTCTGCCCAGACCCCCCTGCTGTTCTGCCCGCTGATCCCACACCCGCTGAGCGAGAGTCTACTGCAGCCACTGCCCTTGCGCGCTCTGTCTGGCTTTCCCGAGACGCTGTCGCTCAGCTTGCCATTAGCAATGCCCTTCCCTCGTCTGAGCGCCCTCGCTTTAGGTCAATCACTACCGCCCAAGCTTACTTAGATGTTGTCATCAAGCGCTATTCCACCCCTCCTGCTGCCTCGGTCGGTCGCCTTATCCTCCCGATGCTCTTTCCCGACCTTGCGTCTTTCCCCACTATCTCTGACCTAGCTGCCCACCTGCGCTCGATAGATGAGACCTGGCGCGCTGCCTGCACTGACACACAGCTTAGAGCCCACCAGCCGCCCATTACCTCTACCCTCTACCTGCTTGCCACCCGCCTCCCTAACCGCCTTGCCGCCGCCCGCGACCGCTTCTTTAGCATCCACCCCGGTGAGCTCACCCTCCCCGACTTTGTAGACACCCTGACTGTTATCGAGATCTGCCACCGCTCCATTGCCCAGGCGAGCGGTACCGTACCGGTCCCTATCTTTCAGGGTTGTGCCCCCGCTCAGTGTACCTTCTCCGACGGTTCTGCCGCTGTAGCTGAGACTGCTGCTGCAGCGCAGCTTCGTTCGGGGAAGGGCCGCCGCCCCAAGGCTGGGCGCGGCGGAGGAGGCGGGGGTGCAGGAGGCGGTGGTGGTGGAGTCGGGTCGTCTAGTGCTGGAGCGGACGAGGGGACCCTGCCTGGTCCAGCGGAGCCACCGCCTCTGCAGTCGCAGCAGCAGCCGCACCAGCCGCAGCAGTCGCAGCAGTCCCCGCAGACGAGGCAGACGAGTGTCCTTCCGCCCGGGTGACCCGGCACTGGAGGTGGTCGGGCACGTGGTGGTGTGCCGAGTGGTGGTTCAGGAAGCGTGCGTTGTCAGTACCAGATCCAGACCGGTCCTCGCCGCGGCTTCGTTTGCGGTAAGATCGGTCATACCACTCCCCGCTGTTTTCGTCGCCTGGACGACCTGTTTTGTCAGCGCTTCGGCCCTTCCCCAGACCTCCCAGACAGGCACTGTTTGCTTAGTCGTAGGATTCAGATTTTTTACATGGACATGGATGCCATTGTTTTCTGCTCTGCATGTGATGTATGCTGATGACTCTAGTGCGCTCCCCACTTATTACTCCCTATCGTCTAGCGTAGGTGTGCCTAGCTTAGCCTCCCCTGCTGCGTCAGGCGTAGGATCCCCTGGTTTGTTTAGCCTTGGTGCTTCCGCTGTCGCCCCGTCGCCGGACGCCACTGCTTCGCTTTCCTTCACCTTGGACACTGGCGCTTCCCGGTGCTTCTTCCGCGACTCTACTACACTGACGCCGCTTCCTGCTCCTGCTGCCATTTCTCTTGCTGACCCTTCCGGCGGTCCGGTAGTCGCCCGCAGTTCCACCACCCTTCCCTGTCCGGCGGTTTTCTCGGGCTCTCTTACAAGTCTGCATATCCCCTCGTTCTCCAGGAACCTAGTTGGTGTCGGCTGCCTCCAGGACCTTGGCGTCACCACTACGTTCCCTGGTCACGAGCGGTATGCTGTCTGTACCGAGGCCGCCACTGGTGCCCCCCTGTCCACGTTCCCCTGGGACCTGGTGTCTGGCCTGTTCACTCTGGACACCGTGACCCCCCCGGCTGGGGCACCCCTTCAGGTGGCTGCGTCTACCCAGGTTGCTGCTGCCTGCTCCTGTCGGTCCCTCACTCACCCGACTCTCCTTTGGCAGCACCTCCTAGGTCACCCAGCGCTCCCGCGTCTGCGTCACATGTCCCAGCACGGTCTCGTCCTTGGTCTCCCTGGTTCTCTCCCCGCTTTTCCCTCCTCCCCTGCCCGACCTTGCACGCCCTGCGTCGAGGGTCAGCTTCGCCGTTCCCCTCACTCCTCCTCGTTTCCCCCTACCACCGCGCCGCTGCAGACCCTGCACATGGACGTGTGGGGCCCCGCCCTCGTCCATGGGCCGCGTCGAGAGCGCTACTTCCTTGTGCTTGTCGACGACTTCACTCGCTACACCTCGGTCTTTCCCCTGGAGCGGAAGGCCGACGTGCCTGACGCTCTCATCCCCTGGCTTGTCTCTGCCCGTGTCCACCGAGGTCTCCCTGTCTTGCGCCTTCACTCCGACCGTGGTGGCGAGTTTGCCTCAGGTGTCCTTGATCGCTTTTGTCGTGCGGAGGGCATCACCCAGACGTTCACCCTACCGGACTCCTCACAGCAGAATGGGGTCACTGAGCGACGCATTGGTTTGGTCATGGAGGTGGCTCGCACCTCCATGATCCATGCCGGTGCACCCCATTTTCTGTGGCCGTTCGCTGTGCGCTACGCTTCTCACCAGCTTAACCTGTGGCCGCACCCCCAGCAGCCGCAGGTTTCGCCGACCCGTCTTTGGACTAGGTCTCCTAGTGACGCGTCTGCGTTCCACGTCTAGGGCTGCCTTGCTCACGTCCGTGCCTCCGGCACGGACAAGCTCACTGCCCGCACCCTTCCCTACGTCTTCCTCGGTTTTCCCCTTGACGCGTCCGACTGGCACTTCTACCACCCGCCGTCTCACCGCTTCTTTCACTTTCGCGACGTCACCTTTGACGAATCTGTCTCCTACTACCGTCGCTTCCCCCACCGCGGTCCCCCAGTTACCCCCCCTGTTCCTGGTCACTCCTTCCCCGGTAGGAGGGGGGGAGAGAGGTGGCGAGGGGGATGGCAGTGGGACGTGGCCCCAGCATGGCCTCGTACTCCGCATTGCTCTCGTAGAACACCTGCTCCTTGCCCTCCTCCCCCCCTTTTTTTTTCAATATCTATCTCTTTACCTTTCTCGCCCTCTCTCTCTTTACCTTTCTCGCCCTCTCTCTCTTTACCCCTTTCTCTCTACCTCTCTCCCTCTCGTCCTTTACCTCTCTCTCTCTCTCTCTTGGCAATGCCCCGCTCACTCTCTCTGCCCCCCCCCCCCCCTCTCTCTCTCTCTCTCTCTCTCTCTCTCTCTCTCTCTCTCTCACTCTTTCTCTCCCCCTCTCTCTCTACCTCTCTTTCAACTTCTCTCTTTTCCTCTCTCTTCGTCTCTTTCCTTTCACAATCACATTTTGTGTTCACTTCACATTCTCATTCATTCTCGCCCTAGCTGATTGTTATTCACTTCTTTGCATACGCAATGCCTAATATACTATCCACTATCCACCTTCATCCACTTTAATTTTGTGCAGGTTTTCTTGTAAACGAGTTTATGAGCTCCGTATGGCATTTAGCTGTAATTCGTGGGGATCTTCCATTATCTCATTTTTCAGCTTTATATTTTATCATTGCTGGCGTCTTGTGTTTGGTTTGATGCATCTTGCTGCTCTTGTTTGATCTCATTCTCGATCCACAATTCATTCCAGTAGCAATGTACGTATGTTTTTTTTTAAAAGAAAGCATACTTATCAAATCACAAAAGGTCCACGGGCGAGCTCTTTGAGTTTCTGTCATTTGAACTGGATTTGATTGGTTTGGTTCTTTTTTTGGACCTTACAGATTGCGTTGCTCCATGTCACATTTAATCATTCAGACACTAAGCTTGCTGTCTTCCCCCCCATTCTAGTGCTGGGGAAGCGGTAGCTTAGAGTTTGAGTTTTTCATTGTTACACATAATCATCACACTTGCTTTTTATTCATGTCATCAATTATGACATGAACTTTCTTGCAGGACTCGATTGGATCCGTACACAACGATATGATGCAATCAAACAAGAGACCTGCCGAATTTTCAAAGTACACAAAAAATCAGCCAAATATAATGCAAATATTATTCCAAAATATATGCATATAATTACAATCATATGATAAACACCCCTGGCATCTTGTTATAGTAATAGGAAAAAAATATGTAGGTCATATTTTATTGTGCAAAGGTTTTCCTTCCAAAATTTTGTGTGGAAAAAAAAAATCGGCAAAATCGATCGTAATAGGTTGTTATGCAACTCAAAAACGCTTAGGACACGCCCTTAGGGCAAATACGCGAACACCCTACCCAACCATTCTAGGTTCCTTTTCGAACGCTGTGAAATGTAAAGCAAGTTACTGCACCGCAATCAGGTGTTCTATTTGGACCAGCCCTTACAGTTGCTGGAATAGTAAGTTCAGGAAACTTGTTTTGCGGCCATATTCAGGGCGTGTCATAAGCGTTCGTATTTTCCTCGGAACCCCACCCAACCGTTTAAAGTTTCCAGTCAACTTCTTTCAAAACATTCCGCACCTTGCTCAACCGTACTAAAGTGAACGCTGATGGCACGCCCTGAGGGCGAATTGTAACAATTTATTTTTGCTATACCCAGTGTTATAGCTAGATATCACAGCTTGCAAAACTTTCCATTAATTCAGCTTCAAATCATGTCTCCTATCCAAGATTTCCCCTTGGAATCTCTTCCTATAATTCCATATTTAATCATTTTGTCCATATTTACTCAACCTGTTATTTTTATTCACTCGCTGGTTCTTTACTCCCTTCACTCATTCTAACACCTGCTTATCCATTATTTCCTACCGAATACCACTAGTAAACGAAATGCCCCCAGAGAGGCCTCCACGTTTCCTCGTTCCACGTCACCATCTCAGCCTCACATCCAGCCCGACCAATCCCTAGGACCCCCACCCACCATCTCTTTCACCGTCAGAAGAGTAAATTCAAATGTTCGTTTCCCGCGGTATAGGGCGGTTCCTCGAGTTACAAAACGATTCTTCTATTCTGCCGCTTTGAAACCCGACGAACCGATATAAACCGTTTTGAGTGGTCCTGAACTCTTGTGACACACCCTTCCCATTCCTTTCCCCCTCCCTCCCCTCCAGCTTTTCCCAATCTCACTATTTTCCTTGGTCTTCTTAGAGTGCAGCAACTTACTCCGTGAGCCACTTAGGCTGCACTTGGTTCAACCGTCGATTGCACTCGTGGAGCCATGGCGTCCTCGTCGCTTTTCTGCTTGCAGCAAGCCTCTGCCTGCACGGTGAGGGTGCGGGGTTTGGAGTAGAGAGCCTCGACCTCGCGCTGTGACAAAGCTGTCAAGGTTTCGTGCTGTTCGGCTAGTTTTATGGTTCTCGCGATTGTTGCGTCGCGTCGTTCTTTTCCGGTCCTCGCACGCGCGTCATCGATTTCAGATTTCCCAGCGTTACAGTCAAGAGGATTAGCCGTCCTGAAGCATCGTTCACAGATGATAATGCATCGCTCTCCAGCGAGTTCATTGTCGCCATCTGGTGAAGGCTAAAAGCCACATTAGTCCGTATCCCCTTCGTTTTTCCTTTTTTCGACTCGCACACGATGATTCTTTGTCAGCAGATTAAGCTCTTACGGCAATCCCTGAGGCTCTATTTTTTCGCAGAATGCCTGGTCGTATCGTCGTTTTAGGGTTTCGTGAGTTTTTTCCGACTTCAAGGCCCCATTGACTTCGTCTCAGCGAGTTTCTTCTTAGCAGTCGCAGGCATTTCTTACCGAGAATCTTCTCGTGAATTCCATGTCGGGCGGAGACTTATGCAGGGTTTAGCGAGACTCTTGTCATTAACCCGAGCCTGCTTCGTGCTTGCCACGTCCCTACCAGAGCTTCATGTTTGGTGCCGATACGTCGTTCGGTTTTAGCTTTCCTCTCAGTACGGGATTTGTGAAAGGTCACGACGAGAAATGTCACGTCCGCAAACAAGTACTAATGGCTAGCGCCTCTCAGAAATGGCGTCTCAATGGCTAGTAACAACAGGGCATCAAACTCCCGGCTTTGAGCAGTCTCGTCGTCTTCACCACAGTTTCTCTAACCTGCTTGTAGACTGACTGGCCGTCAGGCTGCTCCCTCTCCCAGTTTCTTCCTCTGCCCCAGCCACTTCATCCTAACCCACACCCCTCACGAATCTTGCAAATTCATTTCACTTTCTTCTGCTCCTCTTTCTTCTTTCCCAACTCCACCCTTCACCCCACCCCCTTCCCCTCCCCCCTCCCCCCCCTTTTTCCCTCCCCAGGCTGCCAGGCTGGCAAACCTCTCCAGCTCCCGCAGCTGCCACGTCAGCAGTCAGCGCCTCTCGCTCCCCTCCCTCGCCTGCTCCAGCACATCCGCCTCCGCGTCCGGCGGAGCAGTGCGCGTGAGCGCGGTGAAGAAGCAGGAGGAGCTGGCGGAGATCCGCGCGATGGGATCGGCGGAGATCGAGCAGGCCGTGGTGGACCTCAAGGGCGAGCTCTTCCTGCTGCGCGCCAAGCAGGCCACGCGCCTCGAGTTCAAGCCCAGCGAGTTCGGTCGAATCCACACGCGGGTGAGTGAATGCACGGGTGGGAGGCGGAGGGGGGGGGGGGGGTGCGGCGGGAAGGGGGAGGGAAGGGGAGGGGAGGAAGAAGCGCGGGAGGGGAAAGAGATGCAGGGAAATCTGTAAAATGGGACAGGCTCTTCTTCTTGAGTTCAAGCTCAGCGAGTTCGGCCGCATCCACAAGTGGGAGACTTGGGCTGGGAAGTGGAAGAGGGGGGTTGGGGGATTGAGCCAGGGCGAGAGTGACAGGGAGAGGGGGTGGTCGAAAGTCCGAGGTGAACAGGAGGAACCCGCTGACGCGAAAGGGCTTGGGGGAGCAGGGAGCTTGGTTTGGAAAGAGGGGTGTGGGGGGGGAAGGGGGGGGGGAGAGGGGGGAAAAGGGGGGAGATGGGGGAAGGGGGGAGGGGAAGAGGGGGAAGGGGGGTGAGAGGGGGGGAGAGGGTGGGGGAGGGGGGAGAGCGGGGAGGGGATTTGGGGGGAGAGGGGGAGAGCGCGCCAGCTCATAAGCACGGCCAGGGACGGAAAGGAAGTGGAAAGGAAGAGCGGAGCGGATTGTATTTGTGGAAAGAATGTGTTGCCAGACTCCAGTGTGCCTGATCCGTGGGTGCAGGCCACGGTGGCAGTTGCTTGAGGCAGAGATAAACCTCCGTGGAAAGGTGTAGCAGGAGTGGCTCTGGCTGCCCTTCAGAGACAGGGTGGACTGACATGAAGAGCACATGTGCTTGTGCATGCAGATCCATGCGCTCCTCCCCCCGTGCTCCTCCCCCCGTGCTCCTCCCCCCGTGCTCCTCCCCCCGTGCTCCTTCCCCCCGTGCTCCTCCCCCCGTGCTCCTCCCCCCGTGCTCCTTCCCCCCGTGCTCCTCCTGCATGGGTGACAGCAGCTGTGCTGTGCTGTGATATGTTCCCCCATGTCTGATATATAATGGCATGTGCTGCTGTAGGGTGGGTGGTGTGTTTCATTTCTCCTTCTGTTCCACTCTGTGACTTCTGTCTTCGGCAGGTTGCACGGATGCTGACTGTGAGGAGGGAGAGGGAGCTGGAGCAGGGCGTTGGAAAGAGGGAGTCGCGAAAGCTCGACCGTGCATGGAAGAAGAGCATTGTGCCACGCCCGCCGCCCTCTTACAACCCGGACGAGTGGAAGAAGTAAGGCGGCCAGTTAGCTTAAACATTATGTTCTTTAGTGTGATGTGATATATGATATATGATGTGAAAAACTCCGGCCCTTGTTCATTTACGAGCCCAGTTTCAAAGGCACATGGTGTTAGCTTCCAAGATAATCATTTCATGATAATCGATAAATAAAACGGTTGTACAAGCCGCGAGACTCATCCTACCGAGTACCGAACCTGTAGCCTGGTGTGTTCCGTCAACCAGAAAACACTTCTGATGAGCCTTCATCCAAACCTCACTACAGCGTATGGAAACAGCGAAGAAGCACGAAGTCGCGTGCCGTGGTTGCGAGGGGTTACGTGACCCGCTCAGCACGGCACTGGCGTGAATGCCTGGCGAACACCGTGACTTCGCATGATTGGTTGAAAGGCTTTCGGCAAGCTCGAGTCAGGCTTGGTCATCCTGGCTGGCGCAGGTCGCGGCTGGGAGGCATGCCCTCTGTCCCACGTTCTGTCCAAACAGAAACTCGTAATTTCACGAGGATCAGGCGATTCGGGAATTGCTGAAATTTGTGAAATGTTGCTAAGGTAGACACAGAAACCAAGATTTGAGCACCACAAGTAGTCTTCTCGTGATCAGGAATTCCTTATTGTGTACACAAGGCTTACAGCCTTCGTCCCATTATCTAGAGCAACGGAAAACCTTCTCTGCCGTATTTTTTTCCCTTGTAGCGTCTCGAATCTCCTTGAAACACGACCTGATAAAGTCAGGCTCACGCCTTAGCCCTTGATAAGAGAGTGAAATGATCTCCAGAATGAGTGGAGTTTCCAGGAGCGGTGGAATGTCCAAGGTCAGAGATGTGCCCAGGATTAGCGACGTCTCGAGTGGACAGAAGAGCAGACTCGCAGCTGCGCTGAAGGTGCTTCTAATCGGAGATAGTGGTACGTAAAATCCTGAGGACTGAAAAGATGCCCGGACTTGACTTGCTGAAACGCCAATTAGACCTTCAAACCGTATGGTTCGGAACCCCATAACCACGTGTTTTGGTACCCCAACCCACGTGGTTCAGAGCCCCAAAACCACATGGTTCGGAGCCCCAAAACCACATGGTTCGGAGCCCCAAAACCACATGGTTCGGAGCCCCAAAACCACATGGTTCGGAACCCCCAAAACCACATGGTTCGGAACCCCAAAACCACGTGGTTCGGAACCCCAAACCGCATGTTTCGGAGCCCCAAAACCACATGGTTCGGAGCCCCAAGACCACATGGTTCGGAACCCAAAACCACGTGGTTCGGAACCACAAATCATGGTTAGTAGCCACAAAACCCTTGTCCATGGCGTAATGATGATGCTTTGAGCTCACACGTCCGCTCCAGCATTCTCCCTTGCTGAAAGTTACACTTCTCATCTGAATCTAAGTCGTAACGATGCTGAATCGTCTCTCCGTTGTGCCACTCTCACCTTTTTCTCTCTTTTATTCCCCATTTGAATGAAAAAAAATCTCCCAATATCCATTATCTCCACGGACGGCCCATGGCAGCGGTGGGAAGAGCAGTCTGCTGCTTCGCTTCTCAGAGAACGACTTCAGACACGATCTCACATCCACGATCGGGTATGCGCACTTCACTTGACGAAAGGAAGTTGACTCTTGAGGTGACTTAACCCCAATTTTCTAGGCATGACCTCCGAGGTCACATCATGTGAAACTGAACGGATGATCCACCATCGGCTATTTGAACTCACTTTGAGCGGTTTCGTTTGGGGAAAATTGGGATGGACTCACGATGACATTTGTTGACTTTCGTTGACTTGATATTGACTCACGACCTCAAAACTACCCTCCGTTATGATCAGCGCACAATCTTGCCTTTTCCTGGTTCTTCTTCCTTCCCCTCCCTCCTTGCACTGCTGATTGGCATGATGACATATGTTGGGAGACATTGAAGCTATCCATTCTATGTTTTTTTTACCCATACGATGGGCATTGACGGGAGACAGTGAAGCTATCCCTTCTATGTGCAACCCGCGTGACGATAACCAAACTCTAAACTGTCTTGCAATATTTTACTGCAGAGTTGACTTCTTGATCTGCACGATGGACATTGATGGGGAGAGAGTGAAGATATCCATCTGGGGCACCGCAAGCTTTGAGCCGCCTCAAAAATTATGTTTTATTTCTTTCTTTCTTTCTTTCTTTCTAATTTCTATTCGCAGGGTTGACTTCCTGATCCGCACGATGGACATTGATGGGGAGAGAGTGAAGGTGTCCATCTGGGACACCGCAGGGCAGGAGAGATATCGCACCATCACTGAAGGTACTAATACTAGAGTATGAGGTCACCGCACTGTACCAAGCATCACTGAAGCTGACCGCTCCGCACCATAAATGGGACACCGCAGGGCAGGAGAGATATCGCACCATCACTGAAGGTACTCTACATGCTCAGTCAATTCCTTCCATCACTAAAAGAGCTCTTACATGCTCTACTTGGGGTCTAGCATGCCTTTCAGTCCATCTTCAGAGTGGAACTTAAGAGCTGCTGGTCTTAGGTTAACACCAGGAGCACCTCTCAGTGATTTTCCGCATACCCAGATCGACAACGCTAGGATTTTCGTCATGCGATCATACTGGTTTTCATTCTCTGATTTCATGTATGATACTTGTCCATTTTTTCTGTATTCCAATTTCAGCCTACTAACCGCAATGCACACGGCATCCTCCTCATTTACGACATTACAAGCAAGTCATCTTTTGACAGTAGGTTTCTTGGTCCCCCATGATCTTATTTACGCATGCTTTCTTGACCCAATTCTTAAGCGGTAATAACAGTTTGACACGCACCTTTTTGTACCAGTTGTTTTGTTTGTTACACTAACCGAAACATGCAATCATCTATGTGCAGACGTGCGAGGGTGGATCCGAAGCATTGAGGAGCATTCCACAAAAGGGGTGCGAGTCACTCTCGTTGGCAACAAGGCGGATATGGACGCCCATCGGGTAAGCCCCTTATGGTAAATCTTAGTGCAAATGCAATGTTTGAACTGATTATTCAGAGTTACAACGTGCATCAATGCATCAATGCACATTTGCTTTATGCCAAAACATGTACTCAGGTGCATGTGCCTCTGTCTCTTTACTTCAAAATCCTGTGTGCCAGCCTATATCCAATCGTATTTTTATCTCTCTCCCTCTCAATATTTTTCTCTTTCTTTTAACCCACCCACTCTCTCAAACTCTCATGTACGCATGCATTCAATCTCTGCATTTATATTCAGATATAGCTTCCATAAACTCCTCCCCTCCCATGTGTTCAGGTAATTAGCAAGGAACAAGGGCAGCAATTAGCAAGCGAGTTCAGAGTTCCCTTTTTTGAAACAGTGAGTCATGCCTGCTCCCCTTGAAAACACTGAGCAGCATTAAGGGAACAATATGCACCACTCCATTCTCTCATTCAGTATCACTTCTCCACATGTCTTCCCCATAATGCGTATACACCTCGACCATATTTTCCAATGCATGGTCATCGTGCATCGCCACAACCTTGGCTTGTTTTTCTTCATAAGGGCGTGTCCCGCGAGTACGTTTGATTGCGGTTGAGTGAGCTGCTCTTCTAGTCACAAAGTTCGAATAACGTTGGGAAACGGTTGGGTAGGGTATTGAGCGAGAAACGTACGCGCGGGACACGCCCTAAGCATCTATGAGCTCGTGAATAGAGACCATGCCATTTGTGTGCAATCCCCTCCCCTATATTGCCATTTCTGCCCACAGTCAGCTAAAGCAGACATCAACGTCGATGACATTTTCGTCTGCATTGCTCGCGAGAGCAAACGTCTTTACGATGAAACACACTCACTAAATGCTGAGGTATGCCTTGGTTCTTTCTTGCAACTATTTACAAACCGGGGTGACATTTGCCTATTGTTTTTCCTTGCAACTGATCGTGCTGGTTTTTCTTATCATATGTTTTGACTTGGACGTGCAGAAACCAACATGTGTTAATCTCCAAGGTGCAACCGTACCTGCCCAAGTCATTTCCTCTCCTGTTGTGCTTAGGATCGTAGGTAGGTGTGTAACAAATTTAGCTAGGTGATGTATAGTATTGATTAGTTGCCAATGCTAGTTATGATCGAGGCCAGAATGTTTTCTATCCTGATAGCATAATTGTGTTGTATTCATTCTTACAATCAATAAAAGGACAAAACAATTGCACATTTATCATAGTAGTGATACTCTAGGAGTTTAAAGGGATAAAGAGTTTGAAATGTGCGCAAATATGCCATACATGTTTCATTAACAACATTCAGTATTGTAGAAAACCTTAAACCTGAATTCAATCCTATACTGTGTATGTGTGTTTGTAGCTATGGATATAACTCACATATGAATTGAAGTAATGGTAGCGCGAAATATTATGGCTAAGGCTTGCCTTCGCTGAGATGTCTGTGTCAAACATATCTTCGTATGTTAGTATAGACAATATAGGTTTGTGCCTTAGAGGGTACAGCATACTTGCATATATTCCTTTGTACTGTCTCATGCTAGTCATTTCTTTGTTTCTGACATGGTATCATGAGTAGGTTAGATCGCCCACCCGCGCTTCCGCCCTAGGTCCTAGCCGCCCTTTCCCCCTAGCTAGCCCGCGCCCGCCCTAGTCCCCCCCCCCTCCCCCCCCCCCCCCCCCGTGCCCGCCCTAGTCGGCCCCCGCGCCCGCCCTAGTTGGCCCTCGCGCCCGTTCCTAGCCAGCCCCACGCGCCCGTTCCTAGCCGCCCCACGCGCCCGTTCAAGCCGGCCCCTAGCGCCCGTTCCTAGCCGGCCCTTGCGCCCGTTCCAGCCGACCCTCGCGCCCGTTCTAGCCGGCCCTCGCGCCCGTTCCTAGCCGGCCCTCGCGCGCCGTTCCAGCCGGCCCTCGCGCCCGTTCTAGCTGGCCCCTCGCGCCCGTTCCTAGCCGGCCCTTGCGCCCGTTCCAGCCGGCCCTTGCTTTCCTGTATGAGGCTGCTCCCCATCTCTGTTCTATGCTGCTAGTCCGTGAGGGTGACCCAGACGCTTTCGACATCCTGACCCCTCGCACTTACGCTGAGGCGACCTCGGGACCTTGGGCCTCATAGTGGATAGCTGCCATGGAGCAGGAGATGGCATCTTGGAGATCCACCGGTATTACGTCGACACAGTTTCCCCACCTGGGGTGAACGTAGTCA